CATATCGTCTGTGGCTAGATCCCATCCATGGCATTGGTGTCTCTGTGGCATAGCTTTAGTTGACCCAACTTTGCAAATGGCAATTGGTGAAGTGAAAACTGGGTAAGGTTTTACCATTGCGCGTGACACGATGAACGTGAAATTTCAAGGTCCATGAACAAGTTTATTAAATGCAATTACATTTTCGTACATTAAAAATGAATCCCAATTAATGGGTCAATATCGCTCAATTATCCTGCAGAGGGAACTGGCCTTTGGAATAGAAATGTGGAGTTTGCACCACTGGTGAAGGAACAAAGTTTGGGATGTAAAGATGCATAGTTTTATTGATTAAATCGTTTGGCTCAGGATACCTGTATATAATTGGTTGTGTAGGAACTGATGGTCTTCAATTCGTTTATGTTGTATATGCGAGGGTCATGGCACCCTCGATATCCACTAGAGACCACTACATTCAGCGCAGTATATTCTTCAACCAAATCGTAACTCTGAGTCTTGGTAATTCTCTGAATCACAATGGGGGGCGGAGAGGGGGGTGCATTATCAACATTGCTTCCTTGAGCATGGGGGACACTTAAATATCAGTTCACTCTATTGTGTGTCTAATAGTATCTGGCCCCAGTCCAGGGAAAATTGGAAATCAGACATTTAACTCGTCCGTATGACCTATACCATTTTAAACAAATTAATATCTCAATTATAAATGTCCGTCAGCCGCATTTGTGTTTGGCCAGTACTGTCAAAGATTTCAGTTATCCTGTCAGCCAGTCACGTCTTTTATTATTTGTACACTGTGCCGTTGGAAATCAATTTCGTGGTGTTATGTTAACGGCGCTTTATTTCATCCCGGAGAAATGGAGCATGTGGATATTTTGTATCAAAATAAAACTTGATATTTTTTTTCTTCTCAAATTAAACATACATTTAATGAGCCTGACATTGCATGGTGTCTTGCCAAATGTGTTGAAGTGGGCATATATATATTTTTTAAATCATAATTAAAATGAAACGAGTTTGACTGGCTGCACCCTAGCTCCCCTGGGAACCAGCAGCACCTGTGCGTAGGCTGGAGACGATAGCCAAGGAAATACAATGAAAATCAATACCCAGAAACCCACTTTGCACTCTGCCGAGTGTGCAAGAGAATCGTTGTGCAGAGGCGAGGCTGCCGAGCACCATCGCACGTGATCTTTCACGGCTACGTCAACGTGGAACGTTGGGGAATAGATAAAATAAACATTTCATATTTGTTGTGCAGACGGTGTACAGATTGCAAGCAGTGTTTGTGTTCTGTTTTTTTACGAATTAAAGGCGCAGCCACGCGATTGCTCGCTCGCGCTATTTCTAGCGGGCGAGAGAGGCTTTTCACCTGAGGGAACGCTCATGAACCCCATTGGAGGTTTTTTGCTTGATCATTGGAATGCTGGCCCATTGTCTTGGACGAGGTGGAAGTACCCACACAGTCTTCTCAACCACACGTGACCAGTCCATCGACTCACTTCTGGGTGGAAAACAGGTGCTGGGGGATTTCAATCAAACGTGCACATTTTGCAATAGAATATGATTTTGCAGTGATTTCAAATTAACATGTTAATATTCTTCATTGGCCTCTCGCTCCTTAAGCGGTTATGATTTATAATGCGACACGCGTAAATGAGTGTGTCGTCATCTCCTGGTGCACGTGGCGTTTTGTTGTTGCGTAAACGTGTGCCGATGTGCTCGTTGGTATCGGTGGATTCATTGATCAATTTCGTGCCTCATTTGTCAAGCAGTCAATGAAAGGCTGAGTTATAAACCGCGTGAGAGCAATTTAGCTTCATAAAATACCTTCTCTGCAAAGGAAACCAAAACAAAACCAACAATCCAGAAGTTCAATCAAAACGTAAAAATTAGCAATGTTTACAAATGCAGATATACATAGCTAAATGATTTGAATTTCAGTCGGCGTAATCGTTATATACAGTCATTAGGTGAGCTTATTATTTATAAATCATTTCGTGATACTTCGTTGGCAGTGGTGCACTAATAACAATAAAAAAACTCAACAGATTAATTATTAAATAGCACCATGTGGCCTTAAAAATAATATATGTATAGAAAGAAATGTTTTGGGCACAGGTGTGTTTTGTTCATGGCGGTTAAATACCTTATTTGTTACGCAATAACTGTCTAAATAGGACATGAATAAAATATACTTAAATATAAAAAGGCCAGAGAGGTGATTTCCCCATATGTCACCTTTTATACATCATTGAAGAATGTTGCAATTTTTAAAGTTAAAACATTTATATTAATTATAGGTATGTCAATTTCGAATGTCAGTTGAGAACGTGGTTTAACCAAAGCTGACTGCCTAGAATTGAACCCAGGAATTTTGCAAGTGCAGGTTGAATGTTCGGAACATTGATCGGTCACCTTGTCGAATGTGTAATTCTGGGAATGATGTCTTAAGTATTCTTGTGAAATCAAAACAAGTTTCGGTAAAAATCACGGATCATGTTATAGTCCTCGGCAGGAATTAATTGGCAATATGGAAGCTGCCGCTTTTACTGTCGAGGTAAGATGCATTTGTCTCTGTGCACGTTGTTCATTTTGCCCAATTTTCGGGCAGTCCTTGGGTGAATGTGGCAAATCTTCAAGAGGAAAAGTCTCAAATAGGAACAAACTTTATACCAAAGTTGTGTTCCTATCGGGGCATATTTACCAGAATTGTAGTGCCCCCTCTTGCTTGATACACAAGGACAGACAGCTTGTTAAAGTTTTTTTTTTTTTAAACCCCTTGCTCTGTGAATTACCCCTGCTGATTATTGCAAGCTCGGTCCTTATTCTGAGCTGAAGACATTTGAGATGTGTGTGTGACTGGCCAAAGTATTGTGACTGTCGGCAAGAGGAGTCGGCGGTCATTACACAACCTCAGTTCATTAGGAGGAAATTGGAATCGCAAAGTCGTGCCGTAATGCGATGAGGTGGGAGTGCGATGTGGTGCGGCGACGCATTAGGAATTTTAACGAGAAGGCTCGAAATGTGTGCACGGGGGATGGTGGGGGTGGGGTCACATTGGGTCATCGAGTCCATTCCACTCACACACACACAGCAAAACTGCATTTAAGGGTGAATTTTATTGAAACATTTGTGATATAACAATTGCGGCCTTTTTCTTGTAGTACACTTCAACCCGCTGCTGGATGAAGGGCGTCTGTGCCGTCTCAGTCCAGGGGTCGTTTGACCATACTTCACACTGGACTGGCGCCATTTCAGATATCCTCCGCTAAAATTGTCCGAGGAGGCTGGGAATCACAATTGGGTTGCGCTAACTACTGCCTGCGCCATCACTCCATCACCCCCTTAATCTAAAAGTTTCTCCAAAGCTCAATTCAGCTTTGGAGTGGTGCTCATCTCTGTTGGTGGCTCTGAGCCAGTGGTGATAATTAAACTTTCCCATGGCAGGGGCCATTTTCTCCACACGTTAACGACCGTTCTCACAAAGTTACGATGAGCTGACTCGGCTACATGCGAAGAGTCGAACTGTCCCTCCCGCACCTCCGATTAGCACGGTTGGCTACGTACAGTGTAAAAGAAGTTCAACATACATACGGGAGTGGGCTCAGTTTCACTTACTCGATGCTCCTTTTGGAAATAAGAGCATGGCACAGCCTTCCCCTGCGAACAGAATAATTGTATGTCATTAAAACCAGTTTTTGTTGCATCTTTTCTATTGCGTTTCCAACACAGCTTTTTCTTCAACCAACAAGTAGATGGGACGATGTTGACGACGATAAGTGACAGTTAATAACTACGGTCATTTTTTTATTGTGTTCCAGTCAGAATAATGTCGAGTACTATGTCAGACTGCTACGTCAACTTTTCGTGCTGTCAATCCTGGTTAAGTGGAACCAACCGTTAAGCAAGAAAAATGTACTGCTCACAGTGGAGAGAGACCGTACAAGTGTTGTAGTGTAAATTTGCATAGCAGTGAATGGGCATCCAACAGCATGGCAATAAAACAGATGTGAAGATGTTTAAGCACCAAATAGATACATTTTGTAGGGCATGTGCATCTTTCATTTGTTCTTGATCATCACGTTGTCTCACGATGCTGTGGGGCGCAAGGGGTGAACACCAAGACTTGACAACCGGTGGGGAGAGTGCGACGTTTACGTTTGATGAGAAGCCACGTGTGTGTTGAAATAGATGCTTGTGAATAGCGCTTGCCCCAACAGTTTGTTAAGGCTATAGGGGAATGTTTGTCTGTGTTGAAAATATCAAAGCAATAGACCACCATGACCCTGCATCTTTTTAATAACCCACAAACCTGTCAATATATTTTAAATCATATAGACACAAAAAAATTCTGTCAAACCAGGGCGACACTGGTTATGTGACCTTAGCCGTTATGGGTAAATGCAAATAGCAGTAGAATTCTGTACTTTGTCTTCACGTATGAACACAAATATTTATAGTCAATCGTCCCATTGGCTTTTGGAGACCAATATGATTGAGCAGGATTTTGTTTAAGCAAGTGAACCCTGGACTGACTTTGGATCTTCTCAACAATGTTCGTGTACTTGTCCACGCTTTTGATTTGAGGCTGTTTAGGTAGCCTAACCGCCATCGCGTTTGCCATTGGTAGAATTATAATTTTAGTTCCCACTACAGCTGCCTGCAATTCTGCCTGTGCAATAAGTGCACTGTGCTTTAGTATAGACAAACATATGCAGATAGTCTTTCGCAAGACTTCAACCATTGTTTGACAGTATCAGATCACATTTTCTCATTTAGATGCAGATTCAAAAACTTAATGAAAAAAATCATAAAATGAATATGTACTCTCCCCTTTATTCTCATGTGGGAATGAAAACACTTTGAGTGACCACAGCTCACCAGACCTCTTGCTAGACAGACACTCTCAGTGGGCCCTCTCTCTCTCTCCCGTGGTTGAATATGGTGCGTTGATCCGTGACGTATTTAAGCTTGCTTGTTGCGCATGTGTACGTGTTCAGAGATGGGCGCCGTTGGTCTCTGGCTTCCCTGCCCTCCTCGGGGTATGGCACCACCACCCCTAGCTCGGCTGTTTCGGTACGTACTGCACCACACTGCACCGCACTGCCCCGCACTGCCCCGCACTGCCCCGCACACAGCACGGCATTGAACTGCACTATGCTTGTATGTATGTTTATTTAACTTCGTTCGCACCATACGTAGCCAACCATGCTAATAGCAGATGCTAATCGGAGGTATGCCCTGGCTTGCACGTGTTTAGCGTGACACTTTATTACGCTCAGACTAATTGTCTTGTCTTGACCAGCACGAATTGGTGCTGAACCCTGTGCAGTATTATTGGCCTAACATTACGAAGAAATAGTGTGTACCTCTGCGTGGCGAGCAGTGGCATAGCCGTTAGCCACTGCACTGTGAATCCAGCCACAGAGGGTCGTTAGCGCCATCGTCGTTTCTTATGCCATGCTGGACATTACCCACGTAACAATTCACTTGCCTTACGGTACAAAGAATATTCACAATTCGCCAATGGTGATTCCGTTCAAAAATGCATATTGATTTTGCCCCTGTGGTACAAGTTGAATCCACAATGCCTGTCGGGTTTAAAAAAGTGGGACCTTTTTGCCAGTATCAAAGTATAAAAAATAAGAATAGGTTTTACTCTTTCTTGAAATAAACCAGGTGTTAAGATGCCTGTAGGGTTTCTTTCCATGGACCAAAATATAGGAATTGAAGATAAACTCTTCTTTCATGCGTACGTCATTGCATATGTCCTGAACAAAAATAATACGTTTTTAATCAATCATTTTATGGATTTTTAGGCGTGGCCTTAATGGGTTCCTGCACATACCACTCGGCCTCCAAAAAGTCTGCCATGCTGAAGGGGAGGCCGATCTGTTTGTCGATGTGTGTGTGTAATGTAGTTGTGCTTCTAAAAATATGTACAAATGTAAGATGTTTTATATGTACATTGGGTCAGCAGTTAAGCGTGCCACTGAATTTTGAACTTGTCATTGCCTGATATTAAAGGTCTCAGAATATTTGGCAGAATTTACATCCAAATGCATTTTTTCACGTTGTAGCATGAGGCTTCCAGTTGTTAACTTCGAATGGGCAGTTTTTTTTTTTTATCAGAAAACCAGTTTGGAAAATGTGTATTCGAATATTTCCTTGTTTTTCAATCGCATTTCGAACTCTACACAACTGCATCAAGAGAGAAAGAAATCAAGTGATTGGATAAAATGATAGAGACAATGTGATGCGAGAAAGTGACATAAAGTAATGAGATAAAGTGATGAGAGAGAAATGTTATTTATTTAGGGTAATTCATTATCATTATTCGCGAAATTTGCTATTCACGAGCATCTCCGGAACGTATCCCTCACGAATAAAAAGGGAATCCTGTATGATTATTTAGGCATAAATTGCAGCAAGGGAGCGATCACTTTACTGGCTGCTCGTGCTCACGACATATCCATCAATTGCCGAGAGAGAAAGAAAGAGAGCTTTCATTGGTGCAGTTTTAATCATAAGTAGATGCTCCATCCTAATTAGAATTAAACTCAACACATTCATCAACAATTCCCAAAAGAGAGAGAGAGAGCTTTCATTGGTTAAGTTTTTTATCGTCAGTAGACGCTCCATCCTAATTAGAATTAAACTCAACACATTATTCAACAACACTGCCTTATAAAATAGACCGAGAGTATATAGTCGGCGAAGTTTCAGGCAATGGCTCTTCACAGCACACAGCCTGTGAAGAAGGGATTTTGGGCAATACATTGCCTATTATATACTCTTTATTTATTAAGGCAGTATTGTAAAAAAAAACTATTTAATGTTGTTTTACTATGTGCTTGTGTGCTACTGCCATTGGTAGCAGCAGCGTCACTAGATAATCTTCTGAATTAGTTTGCTCTTCATTATCTCGCATCCAACTTCCCAGCTGCAACACATCAATTAGCTGTGCAACTTACTACTGTTACCTCTTTGACTTTGTCTGCATCTCAATCGACCCTATAACTGCATAGCCTACTGCATTGAAATGTGCCTGAATGTTGGAGAGTAAATACTAACTAAATTGCCCGGTAATGGGGGCTGCTTAATCGCTTGAAGGAAATATCATTCAACCAATTAACCGTGGGATTTCTGAATCTTGAGTATTCCAGTTACATTTATTCAAACAATAGAGCTGTCGACCTCTTTGGACTTAGCTGAATGTCATCATCAGTGGTTTGTTGCCCTTTCAACGCATAGTTTTAGTTGTGCCCACTTGGAAATCAACTCCAAGATCCTAATCGTTTCAGAAGTCGCCATTTGAAATTATGCGAGTAAAAAGCGTTTTATAAAAGTGGTTAATCCTAACTGCCAGCAGAGTGTGTGTGTGTGTGCACAGACGCATAGTCATGTACAGTTGTGCACAAATGAGCAGGCGGTTAACAGTTATTGCTTAAGACTGGAAGAAAGTTGTGCCCTTTTCAGCTGATGCCCTTTAATAAGGGCCCGTTGTTTATATGTGGTGCCTAAGCCAAATTTACAATGACCGTATTAGGATTCTATGGAAAGTCGTAGGGGTCAACCAAGGGAAGTATTCAGGGCAGTAGGAGAAACATCCCAAGCCGGCCTGCATGGATGCTTTCTTTCTTTTCTTTTTTATGCAGCACTCATCAGAGGGAACGTTCTTCCAGATGCAGGTACAGCCCAATGTTCTGAGGCTTTAACGCTTTAATGGCTAGCTGTGGGTGCTTCAGGGACGTGGTTAGCATCTCATGTTGACTCCACGCTCGGGCTTGCCCTTAACAGCCAGGAAGGTTATAGGTCACACAGCGGTTTCATGTTACCACTCTCAGCAGGAGCTTCTACTGAATGAGTGGTCATGTGTCGTGCATGTGTGTGTATGTGAGAGAGTTTGTGATTGTGTGTGTGTGTGTGTGCGCGCATGTGAGAGAGTAGGTCTGTGAGAGAGTGTCTGTGTCATTTTGTCTTCCCTGGGGCCGGCTCGAGACAGTTGTTTTTCACTCTCAACTCTGGCATCAATGGTTAAGGATTGTGCCAATGGGTACATGGGGGGCAGTGCAGTGGTTGTGGTGCACGTGTTCAGACAATCGCTCGTCACTTTCGACATCGTTCGCTACTCACGTGGGCCATGGCCGGGAATCAAACTGGGGTGCCGAGTTCATCGTCCAGTGCGCTAACCGCTGCTCCATCGATCCAACCGAGCCCATCCTGACCATCATTAAGTTATCACATGAAAAAGCATTTATGAGTGGACACTGTTCAAAGACTTGCATTGCCCTGGGCGGCGGGGGGGCAGCATTGCTGACAGGGGGCAGCGATGGGGGGGGGGGGGGGTGCAGTGGGTGCGAAGGTTCGGGTGAGGGCGGCTCCTCGGGGCAGCCCCCTGACGGTGTCTTGTGTTCACCCACACGCAGTCCTCGTGCTCGTCACAGGAGCGTCTCCACCAGCTCCCGGCGGCGCCCACTGCCGACGAGCTGCACTTCCTCTCACGCCACTTCTGCAGCACGGAGCACCTGGCCGACGATGACGGAGGAGGGGGAGGAGGCGGAGGTGGAGGAGGAGGGGGAGGTGGAGGTGGAGGCGGCGGTGGCGGCAGCTGCGTTAGCAGCGTCAGCAGTGGCGGACGACGCTCGCCTGCGCTCCGCCCCCGCTCACGCAGCCTCAGGTGCCCGGGATTGTTCCGTCCGTACACTCGCCACTCCGTCCGTCTGTCTGCCCATGTGTTCGTCCATCCGTCTCTCTGGCCCATTGCTTAGAATCGGAATCTTGATCAGAGTTTGTATTTACACTGGAGGAGGAATCCGATAAACTACAAAGCTCTTTTTCACAGGTGTCCAGGAGGGGTGGCTCCCACAGCTCCAGCTCCTGCCCCACCTCTGCCCCATCTCCAGTTTTCATGGTCACCTCTTCTTGTCTCACACATCCTTTCTTATTTGTTTATTTCACAATAATTTTCTGATTGTGCTGTTACTACCTTGTCATGAGGTGGTAAAATCCATTCGGGGATATGCTAGCAAGCAGGGCATCTATCCTGTGCTATAAAGGCAATATCAGAGCTACTACTGATCGCAGAAAAATTCCCAAGGTTCTGTAGTTTTGGCTCTTACATAAAGTAGGTGGTGGTGTACTTTTGCACATCCGACTGTAAAGATGTTCCTCGGCTGACGATCAAACACAACAGGCTTTGTCCTCAAGAGCTGCAGGATTCTGAATTACGTGAAAACACAAATGCACTGCCGGTTGTATTCTGTGCAGCCAGGCTAACCTGGGCGTTGAGTAAGCCATGATCCCTAGTGACCTCAGCGTGTAATGGGTGCGATGTGTGCGCGCGTGCGTCTATTTTTTGTGAACTTATAAATATCTAATTACGATTTCAATATAACACGATCTACCCTGACCGATACACTATTTGTGCGGCGATGAATAAAGGATTTAATCAATGCCAAAAACCCTCCAAATGTTTTGCAGCACGAGTGTGTGCATCAAAAGCACGTGGTGTTCATATTCCGCCACCACCATTGTGTGCCGAGTGCTTTTTAGCTGAAACAAGGGGCCGGCTTTTGTGGATGCCAGAAATAAACCTCGCAAAGACAAGAGTGCTATTTCCCAAGCATCAACTTAATGCTGAGGGTGGAGTTGGTGGGCGAAGGAAGGATTGGGCGGTAGCGCACGTACACAATATACCGTCCGCAACGTTCACTTAACATGAAGATAAGGTTGACCACACGGCCACGGTGAGGCCATTAAAATCTCCCCTCTGTGTTGCCTTCCCCCGAGAACTTGGGACCTCCCTTCGCTACGTATTTCGGGTTGTACCACACGTTCGGCACGACAGCCGACTTTTCCAGTTCCACATGCTGGGGAGCACGATTCTGTTGACGTGGAGCAACACAATGGACATCGTGTCGAACGGCAAGCGGTTCAACCCGGAAATATGTGGCAGAGCTTTACAATGCAACCGCCAAGACCTTACGTGGTGGTGTAACTGAGGCCTGTGCAACAGAAGCATGGGTACACAGGGTTGTTTTCAGTGACTAATTAAACAAAGTTATTCTTTGGGTCTTTCAGGAAAGCCACGTAGATGGAAAAATAATAATCACTGTAGCATTGGATTGTGCACTCGAGGATTGGCTTGCGATTTAAAACTGGATGCATTTGGTCTTCTTGGAAATAATGGAGCCTTGATTAAATGTGAAAATGCTGTGCAGTCAAATTCAGGGCAAAGTAACCAAAATCATTGTAAAAACAAAACAAGCCACGATATTTAAGCAGCTATATATTTGTAATGAATACATGAAATGAAGACTTGCAGGGTGGCTGGGAATATGCAGATGAGAGACACAATTGTATTAACAATTTGCATATACCGCATTAGATGATGAAGCCTTTATTCTTGCATATTGCCAAATGCGAAAATAGAATGTTCCAATTAAATATATATATATAATCCCCAGTGGTAAATTGGGCAAATGAAAGAGGTTTTCCCATCTATAGGGAAGCACATTCTGGTGAAAATATGCAAGAGCAACTAACATTCAAGTAATGGCCTCTTGAGTGTGAAAGGGCAGGCTGTAGAGAAGGAGGCTGTTGTGATGACGGTGGCGGTGGTGGTAATGATGGTTATGCTGTTTTGTTTGTTATTCAGCCCTGGGCGTTCCCCATCTGTGTACGACAATGAGATCGTGATGATGAACCACGTCTACAAGGAAAGGTTCCCAAAGGTAACACGCTCCTCCGCTCAGACAATGCACTACGGTTTCACAGATGTCTGCTGGACATTTGTGAAAATCTTCGTAGATCATCGTATTTCTCCAGGATGAATAAAGATTTCGACTGACAGGTGGAAGTGACTTGTGCACCTGCGCAGGTTCTCGCGGTTGTGCTGTATAACTCTCGGGATGTAGCGCGCGTTGTTCGGCACGATGCCGAACGTTTTGCTCTGCCCATCGAGAGTTTCTTCAGGAAATCAATGAAAGAAACTCCCAGCGCCTGGGTCGAAACGTTGGGACATCGTACAGAACAACATGCGGTACAACCCCAACACATCGGAGAGCTAAACAAGTGATTTGTTGTTGGTCATGAGATGCCACAGATGGACTATGATTGCCACTTCTTCCACAATCATTGCTCTTAAACGATAAAACGATATTTATTTTACCATGTAAGGTCCGCTGAGCTATATAGCTATTTTTCAGAAGCGACTTGACCACAAATTTTTCTCAACGAAGTGGTTTATCATCTGGAAATTTATAGCAGCCAAATAATCTAAACGCATGTTTCTAAATGTGGAGGGAAACACCGGGGACAAGGAGAAAAATCCACGCGACCACGGGGAGAGATAGAGACACGCAAACTTCAGATATACAGGCGTCAGGGTCGGGATCGAACCCACGACCTCCTGTATACTAGTATGTGTGTCGCAAGCTGACCGACATTAGTTTTGAGCTTGCAAAACAATCACAATGGAGTTTTTTGAATCGCACCATGTTCACAAATTAATTGTGTGTAGTAATTTACGACATCCTCGGGCTTGGCAGCTGGCAGCATTAACTGGCAAATGCCATCACACCGGCACACAATCGCCTTCTATAACAGCAATGGCAGGCGGCACGGTGCGGTAAATTATCCGCGCACCATATTGTGCAGCTGTGATGGAATAACATCATACCCACACAAGCTGGCGACCACGGGGGCTGTCTCGCCGACAGGGTTGCCTGTGCAATGCGTTGCCTTACCCCGCTTATCTCACCTGTTGTGGTGAACACAGCACCGGGCCGTAGATTTTATTTAAAGCTCGCGAACCCAAAGCACCGACCTCAGGGTGGACTTTACGGGACACCGTCGCATTCGTCTTCATCAGAGTGAAACCACACATGCATAAGCGTAGGGAGCACAGGGGAGCAACGCAGTTTAGAGTGAGCATGTTTCGTCATCCCACCTGCAGTGTGTCTTTAAATCCGCAACACAAAATGAGTTTGGCTCTAAACAAACATAAGCAATATCCTCTCTCCCCCCATAGAGCAAGTGCCACGAGCGCACATTTGTTAAGGTCAGACCAGCATACAAGGCAGTGGTGTAGCCAATGCTGGTGTTACATACCATACCAGACACTCATTTAAGGCTAAGTCAACCTAGGGAAAGCTCAAGACGAGTGCAGATACTGCTTTCCACTGATTTTATTCCTGACTGGGAATTGAACTGAGGTCACTGGATTTGGGTTTGTAGCGCAGTGCGCTAACTACTAGACAACCGCTGCCCACACATTGAAACGCACACGCACGTACAAGCGCGCACACACACCAGAACATGCACACGTACACATACGAGCACATGTGCCTATATCTAAAGGACATCACTTTTGCTTAAGATTTAATCTCGAAGCTGACCTACATGTGCGAAGTGAGGGGGGGGGGAAAGGAACGTGTTTTTTAATGACATCATCTTTCACCTACATCACCTCTGACAACAATGCACGCACATTTGTTGAAGCTTGTGCGTGCATAGTCATGGATTACAACCTGAATGCATGAATAAAAAAGTGATTACTTAGCCTGGATAGACTGCTGGAGAAATTTGCATTTGTGCAATCCAATTCCTGCCAGCAAGTACAGAATTAGGGTGGTTGTGTGCTCAGCACCATGTGTACACAACAACATACGCCATTCACCACGACGTGTCGGTGACGTCACCATTATGCTTGTGCCAGGCTAAGTGCACATTGAGGCCACGTGAAGTGTCCAAGGCTCGCTGGCAGGAGGTCATGGGACAGTCCCAGGTGCCATGGGTTAACTAACTGAGATGACTAGCAAATGCACCACCTGTACTCCCAGCTGTGCTAACTTGCTCCATTTTAGTCGCCTGGCACTCCGCTCGTTGTTGTGAGCGTCGCTCCTCTGCCCTCCACTATTGTTGGAAGGTGACTGCCTTCAACTGCCCAGTAGCGTCCTTCACGAGCTTCCTCCATAGAGGCCGATCTTGACACCGCTGGTACTAGGCTCTCGCAAGTCCACTCAGCTCCATATCCTCCTGTACCATATCAGCCCATCTCCATGTGTACAAACACACACATAAGCATGCTTCAGCTTAAGTGCAGTCGCCAGGACAGTATTGAATGTTTTCACTGCTCAGCAACCCACATAATTAGCAAGTTTATTCTTATATATAAAAAAAAAATTTGTTGCCAGATGTGATTTGGCAGTCGAACACTATCAGAGTTTATAGAATTCTCCCATCGTGCCTAAGGAATGTGATCTCTAAATTAACTTGCTGTGCAATTCTGCATGTGCTTGCAAAGATATAGATCCCCTGCTTCATTCCAAATGCTGTCAGCCAGAGCATATTAATTCGTGGCAATGACAGTTGCTGTGAAACTTCATTGTAATCCTGCCAAATCGCATTCTACTACTGGACATGCAAGACAACAATGGCTATCGGTATCTGCTTTGACCTCGCCGAGACTGACTTAGCCTAAAATATCAAAAAAACTTGGTTGCAATTTGTCAAAATAGCTACATATTCATGGCCACAAATATACACTCAGCAGCCCATCATTTCAGAATTCATGTGAAATTGTTGCCAGGAAATTGAGAGAATAGAATAGCTCTTGAAAATAGTTTTGCGCGATGCGCTAACACAAGCACCCGCTGCCAATTGTGCGAGCGCATTCAACGATGACAACAGTGGCTCAGTGCTAGTTGCCTTTAGGGTTTGGTCGGTCGTAGCAGGGCATGGCTCTTTGACCAAAGATGAACAAAGCACAGCCCTAATGAGTCAAGTCCCCTGCGCTGCAGCCTTCATATTAATGCCAAGCCATCTGTTAGCCTATTAGCGCACTGCACGACTGCTGCTCAAGCACCGCCAGAAGTATGGTTTTAAAATATAAATCAAAATTTCAAGGTCACCAGGGAGGTGCACTGATGATGATGACGCCTGGGAGCGGGACCCAGCGTAGCTAATTTCCTCCATTCCAGAAAATTTTAAATAAGAAAGTAATTATTTTATCAAAGTGGATTCTTGTTGCTATGCTTGCATTCAAACTGTGCATGTTAAGAATGGTTGATCAACGATTTATGAAATTTGTGCAAATTGTTTATAAAATGTACCTTCATCAAAATGGAACAAATGAGATAGTATAATTAGCAAGACAACATTCGGTACAGAGTGCAAAATAAACATAATGAAGGAGATAGAATAATCGATTCTTCAATTAAATTATGACCGAGAATCGTGATGATTGATTGACACGCTGGCGAGGGGTATTAAGCTAATTGTTAAAGGCTTTATTCTATTTGAGTCCACATTGCCAAGCGTAGAGACTGTGGTGGTCTCAGCCTGCCCACCAAAAAGAATACAAGGTGAATGTCTATGGTTGTTTTGGGAGTCATTCCTCATGGTATGTCGGTCTGTGCCTTGCCGTACAATCTCAGTGACTCGAGTCCATACACAACCCCAATAGAGTTTCATGCCAGAACTTGCCAACGTCTTTCCATTGCTTCACTCAGCCCACTCAGCCTCATCATCGATAATATGAGAATAAAGGTGACCAGGTGTCAGCAGTGCTGGCCACACCACCCCTTCATGTGTTGTGCTGGCCTTCATGGGTGTACACTTCTATTGCTTGTCCTAAAAGAATAAATAGGGGATCTCTAATCTGTATTTCAAAATGTACTTTTATCCAAATGGAATAAATGAGTTAGAACAAGCAAGACAACGGTGGTGAGATGGCAACGGTGGTGCCATGGTGGAAAGATGTTAACTACCTTGCCTGGTGAACAGGCGGTCGTGGGTTAAATCCTGACGCCTGCTGCTGCTGTATATTTGAAGTTTGCATCTTCTTCCCATGTTCGTTTGCATTTTTCTCCGGGTCCTGCTGTTTTTTTTCCACATTTAGAATCAGCATGCGTTTCGAGTATTTGGCTGCTTTAAATTTCAGCAAGATAAGCTACTATGTTGAGCTATAATTTGTGGCCAGGTCACTTCTCAAAAAGAGCAAAAAAGCTCAGTGGGCCTTACCTGGTAAAAAAAAATATTACTTAGCGTTTATAGTTTTTTTTATTCCTAATTCTGTTCTTCTACAATTTTTGAATACGTCGTTTATGTTACTGTGTACCTGTGCCTGTCTGCGTGTCTCTTTGCACGTGTCTCTTTGTGCATACTCGTTTGTGCGCAAGTCTGCGTGTGTTGTCCCGTGTCTGCCGATCCGTGGTCCATGTCTGTGTGTGCACCTAAATCTGTGTTCCTGTGTTCCTGTATGTGTGTCTGCTGATCCGTGGCCTGTGTCCGTGCTCCCTTGTTCGCGTATTCGTGTTGTCCGTGCGCCTGCGTCTACATGTGTGTATGCGTGCCTGCGTGTCTACGTGCACACGATAGCATGCGCTCACCCCCCCTCTCCCTCTCTCATCAGGCCACAGCGCAGATGGAGGAGCGCCTACAGGTGCTGGTGGCAGTGAACGACCCCGAGGACACGCTACCGCTCGCGGACGGCGTGCTCAGCTTCATCCACCACCAGCTCATCGAGCTGGCGCGTGACTGCCTCGCCAAGTCGCGCACCGGACAGATCACGTCGCGTTACTTCTACGAGCTGCAGGAGAACCTGGAGAAGCTGCTTAATGACGTGAGTGGCTCGTAGCGGTGGCGGCTTGCTGGGCCATCGCACGTGATGTACGGCACGGAGGGTCGAGAACATTGGCGAGGTGCGGTGGCATCAACGAATTTGACCTTGATGCCATCACGAGTTTTGATACTGCGCATGCAGCATCCGTGGTGCTGCATGCGCAGTATCAAAACACATTTATAACTTTCTGTACGCAGCAATGCGTGCGCATAAACTGCCCACTCACAAAGTAGCTTTATACACAAGGCCACAACCCCACGTACGTTTACATACGTGCAGCATTGCTTACACAGTAATGGATACACACCTGGGCTACACACTTACAGTGTTACCTGTATGCACAGGACGAAATGCACATGTTTCGCACATACAAGTTCAAGTTTATTTATTAGGTATAGCCCTGTGAGCCATTCGGCTCTTGAATCGGGTGCAACCGCAACAAACAAAAACAATGAACAAAAAACATCTTAAAGTGAATATGTGATACCCTGCACTCACCACATGTACAGGACAAATTTGGCCGAATTTTGAATACTGTTTACATCTCTTGGGTGTATGTGGCAACTCTACTCCTTGTGCTTGATGACATTCAATGCGAGCAGTCAGGCTCATAGATGATCCAGCTCCCACTGATTTGCTCCAGTCACACCCATCGGTGGTCAGTCGACTCCTTGTCACTTTTCTATCGCTACTACCATGGCGTATTTTTATGCGAAATTAGCTCATTGATTCCTCCACCCATATTGAGGATTTGGTTTCATCTCTTCTATACTGTGGTCAAACCACCTTATTGCAGGTCACAACACTCTGATTTGTACTTCTTTCCTTTGGAATTCCCTTCTATCGTCTATTTTCCCAAGCTCGTATAGCCTTGCTGAATTAAAGTAATGTGTTATCTATTATCTATTACAACTGTGATTGTTCTGTTTAATTTTTGGGCCTTTTGGAACTGCTCAGCAGTTTCAGTTTCATTTATTAGGGTTTACCCTGTGAGCCATTCGGCTCTTGATTTGGGTTCAACCACAACAAACAATAAAATTACAAGATACACCTAAAATTCATTGTACACAAATCTAAACATCACATAAGTAAACAATAAAATCCTACAGAAAAAGCACAACCCGCCCATGCTAAGTACTAAAAGTGCAAAAAACAATCATAAAACAATACAGATAAAAAATGTAAGTATAAATCTATAAATATAAAAAATCTGGCCAAACCAAGCCCATCTAAAACTTACTAAAACAATGCTATATAAACAACGTAACAGTTTTCCCAACAAATGTTGTGTTAAAAAGAAAATGCAGCATTATAACGCCGTGTTCCACCACACGCATGCAGCACTGCGTCCACCACACAGCGAACGGTGCACCACACCTCTACCACAGCACTGCAGAAGGTGCACCGCACACAGAGCAACAACGGCGAGCATAACACACCACACATGCAAGGTATCACGCGCTGTGCACCGCTGGCACGACCACAGTGCGGTGTGGGCATCGTGTTGACTGCACGCACAGGAGCGCTGTACATGTTCACCACTTACACAGCACACAGCGTCTCTCCCCGCTGCACACACAGCTCCGCACGCTCAGTGTTTATTGCTCTGGCCATAATTCTGACACGCCACACATACTCCTCATCTAGCCAAGTGCTGTTAGCGAGCACCTATTAAGGCCAATGCAGCACACAAATCGGTGTTATGGTCGGTACCCTGGCCAGCAGCCTTTATCTCCGAGCGCTGTTGTCTACACACAGCTGAGTCGACCTAGGGGGAGGCGCAGGACCGACGCGACTGATTTTACTGGTGACCAGGAATCGAGCTGAAGTTGCCGGGTTCATGGCGCAGTGCACTACGCACCACTGCACCACCGTCTCACCGTACCTATATGCACACACGTGTAGTGCTGTCATGCATAAACAGTGTACATCACAGATCTGAAACACGGTAGGACCAATACCTCGGCCGTGGCTGATCATTGTTTTAATGTGGTGGGCTCACACGAAATTGATTTATTTTAGACGAAGGTACTTTGCAAACCCACTGGCTATCAACAAAGATTTGTTCATGAAGCCATCCATTTTTTAGACACAGACACAATTTCAACCGAGAAGATGGGTACAAACTTAGCAAATTATTTTTTATTTCTTCCTCTTACTGTTAACTGAAAATGTGTGATCTGAATCGCGTACAAATTAATAACTTGAAAATATTACGTTCAGTATATGGTTACAATTAGGAAAATCTCATTTACAAATAAAGGATTTTGAAAGGATTCTGAAACCTTAAACCCTTACAGTATTTTAACTTAAAATCATTGAGTAAAATAATAATTGTTACCTATTCATGTGGATCTATCCCAGCCTCAGTAGCCATGGGGGCATGTAGTGGAAAGTGAACAGTTATTGTCAGATGGTGTGACTCACACCTGCCAAAGGAATGTGGAATTTCTACTCCTAGCACAGGGTTATGAAAAGAAGATGAGCATTGACCCTGGCTTGTTTGAGTGGGAAGCCAATGTGATTTGACAGCAGCAGAACTTTAGCTAATTTGTGATTAAATGTCAACCCACTGCTGAATGAAGGCCTCCCCTTGCCTTGTCAGTCATGGGGATTATTTGTCCATACATCTAAGCTAAACTAATTTTTTTGTTATTTTACCAAGTAAAGATCACTGAGCTATATAGCTCAATTTCAGAAGCGACCATGCCACAAATGATCGCTCAACAAAGTGCCTTTCTCATCATGTGGAAATGTATAGCAGCCAAATAGCTTAAACTTATGTTTCTAAATGTGGTGGGAAAAACCTGAGGACCCGGAAAAAATATCCACGCGACCGCGGGAAGAACATGCAAACTCCAAATATACAGAAGGTGTCAGGGTCAGGATCGAGCCCACGATCTCCTGTATCCCAGGCGAGGTAGTTAACATCTCACCACCATGGCACCACTTTTGCCATCTCAGTCATGGGGGTTGTTTGTCCATATTTCACCACGCTGGTCAGTGCGTGTTGGTGAAGGGAGGGGTGGCAGAATTGGCTCAGATACCGTTCGCCACTGATGTTATCCGTGGCCAGGATTCAAACTCGAAATGCCAAGGTTTGTAGGGCAGTGGCTTAACCGCTGCGCCACCGTTCATCCACCATAAATAGGAATGACCATGTGCACCGTCATCAATTTGTAATTGTGCCATTATGCCGATGCATATTGAATACCGATGGGAGCAAAATTTGGTGGCAAATGCACCTGCAAAAACATTTCTATTAAAGACTCTATGACAATATCATTAGGTGTGTGCGTCATAGCCCAATTAAAAATGTGAATGCAAAAGAGATAATCAATGTTGTGCATTTTACACCTCGTTAAATAATTTATGTTATGAAAATAAAATATTAATTTTGGAGTTGAAAAAAACATTGTCTGTATTTGGTTTTTAAAGCGAGCAATGAGAGTAAGCGCCCCCCAATTTGTCTTTAATCGTAACAATGAGCAAGTCACATGTTCACGTGGCGGAGAGCGTAATGCACTTCGGAGGGCTCTTGCGTTGCTCATGAGGGGCTCGTGCAGGGGACCTTATTTACTCAACCAAATTGGCTGTCTGACCCCGTTAACATCAATTTGAAGCTAATGTAAGGTTCCATATACGGTGACCACTTGCCGTTGCGAGCGAAATTCCTAATCCCGAGGCTTAAGAACACCGCAGGATGGTATCTCACAATGGAGCGGTCAGTCGCTGTTGACCCACACGTGCAGCAAAGAGCACAGCCAGACGTAAATAACAGCCGTAGCAAATCCTTTATTCTCTCGCATGCCGTGTGTGTGTGTGTCTTTCTCCTTTGCGTGCCCTCGCTCTCTTCGTCTCTCCATCTGTCTTTATGCTGTTAGCTAAAAGAGTCGCCTCAATTTGACGAGAGCTCAGGAGAAAGAGGGGAGGTGAATACATCTTCTTGTACAGTCGACCTGAGTGTCGGTCGCTACCAGGGCAGGGAAAAGAAGCGGACAGCGCCAGATTCCAAATTTGAGAGGCGTCGCGCTCCGTTAGGCGCATCGATTAACGTCCGGAATGAAAGATGCGAGCGCCCGCTCCCTCGTTCGCTCATTCGCTCGCTTACTTGCTCGCTCGCTCCTGCTTCACCGTTAGGATGATCTCATCTCGCGGTGACATCACCGGCGGTGTGCGTTAGGTCACCCGCTTTTTTACATCAACGCATTACGTCTTCTTTTTCCTCCAATGGAACGGCTCGGTCCCATGGCCGCCGTTTCGCGGGTGGGGGGTTCGGGTGGTGGGGTTTCCGCGCCGCCTGTACCTCGAACTCCCCCTATTGCGCACGTGAGACGCGCACCTTGCTACGGCGAGAGCGCCAGTCGGACACCGCCGTCGCCAGGTGCCATGGTGTAGGAGCGAATTTGCACAATGCCGGGTCTCGGGGGCCTGCTCCTCAAGTGCGTCTTCGTGCGCCTAAAGTCGAAACGGCGCCGCGTAGGCTGGAGGAGGCATGTGGGTGAAGTTTGGAACTGGGTACGTAGCGCCGCGCTTTCTTTCCCGTTACGGGGATTAATCAACACCGAAAGTAGAACGAGTCGCAAGGCGAACCGTCTTAATTGTCAAATTTATTCTTCAACAGAATGTCTACATTTTTAAATACAGCAAAGTTTTATTGCGTTCGGTATGCGTGCAGTCTGTCAACCTGTGCGCGTGCGGTAATGACTGAAAAATGGGATTTTTATTTGCATTTGACTTTGTGACATTGAATCGTTTAGAACGGTTTTTGTTGAAGTGCTTTTTTTTTAGAACCGTGGCTAATCTGTGTATTGTTATCGCTGACACAACTCGGGGTTGGTTGCGTTTGTCTGTGCGCGTCTGCGTGTTTCCATGCATGTATGTGTGTATGTTGAACTTCTTTCGCACCGTACGTAGCCAACTGCTAATCAGAGAGGTGTCTGTTTATCCATGCCTCAACGTGCTATCATCACAGTTGGGTTCGATTACAGGCCATGTACATGTGAAAATCGTTATGCAGATCTTGTCCGGTCCCACACGAGGTCAGCGAAGCCTAATCTGAGTACCTCGCGTGCGGTGTACAAGGTATCTACTACAGAGGCAGAGGGGGCGGGCATGCGGGGTGCTGGCTGTGCCACCGCCGCACATGCCACGCTAATCTTACTAGGCGCTCGCTCCGATATCTAAAGAGGGGGATTGTTGTGCGCATGTATTTGCAGGCTCAGGATCGCTCTGAGAGCAACGAGGTGGCGTTCATCACGCAGCTTGCCAAGCGTCTGCTCATCGTCATCTCCCGGCCAGCGCGGCTGCTCGAGTGCCTGGTACGGCGACGTTCGCTTCGCCGCGTCTCTACCGACAGCGGCACAATCGCGGGCGCAGACCTTGCACGCACGCACTACACGCATGCGCGCACACGGACACACACACAAATGCCTCCGCTACTTGTGACCCTGCTTTCTTTGACCGCTCCTCGAACACGATGCACATTCTCCCTCCGGCCCACAAACAACACCGCCGCTTTAGTGCTTGCAGACCAGAGCGATTAAAGAAAGACAGCACCTTAAAACGGCGCTATTTTTTATTCTAAATACTTCATTATTATTACTGCATGTGACTCGGGCTGTCCGACATGGATTTGAAGCTTTGTTGATGATAAAAAACATTAAACTTTTTGTTAGAAGTTGTATTTGGACTTTTCAGTAACATGATCAAAAGACCCAAGCAATACAGCATTGTAAGTTATAAAGCTCAGGGAGGACATGTTTTTCTGTAACTCTTGGCCACAATGCAGCAAAATTGAGGTGGAGCTGAAGAGGTGAGCAAGAGAAGGGGAAAGAAAAAAATTGTAATCGCAGTTCAGCGTGTCACTGTCACACACCAGTAATGTCATTGCGACCTCACTCCTGTGCGATATCAATGCAATTATATAATTAGAGCACTGCAGTACTCTTCCTGAAAGTCATTTAAAAGTTAATTTTTTTGATCAGAGAAGCTTCATACTTTTGTCGAACAACCTTGAACACACAGTTAAGTATGTCTTATTGACGAGATAATAAATATTTGTTTGTGGGCATCTTTCTGTAATGAAGATGGTGTCTCCCTGCTCGCAGCAGTGTGTGATGAGTTCAGTGTCCACGTTGATCTGCCTGATGAGAGTCCGCTTTGCTCACCGTGATTGCCTAAGGATTTGAAGATTTACTTTAAAATGTTCCGTTCGGTGCGTAGCATGATAGCTTTCCCTTGTAAATGATATACCAAATTTCAGTAAATTACATTTCATAACTTATTTGGTGATGTCCGACCGAAGTTATTAGCTCCAGGAAATTTAACTGTGAACTTACTGCAAATTCCCACTCAGCTGTGTATCTGTGCGGTTGCCCAGCACAAGTGTGAAGCTTCATTAATGAGAAGAAAAGCACGGTATAGTTATGTCATTTGGTGGGCCACCTGCTTAAATTCAAATGCTCGGCCGTTTTGCCTGCAGTGCTCGTGGTGAGTTAATGCAGGTCAAATACGCAAAGTAATGCAATGCTGTGGAGGCTTGCGAGGGTTGGTAGATCACACATTTCTAATATCTTTTAAAACTTTTTCTTTTATCAGGTAAGGCCCACTGAGCTATCTAGCTCTTTTTCAGAAGCGACCTGGCCACAAATGATAGCCCAACAAAAAGTGGCTTATTGTGTGGACATTTATAGCAGTCAAATACATGAGACTTCTATGTTACGAAACTCCCTTCCCTTGAACATCAAGGTGCCATACCCTGGCTTTTCCAGGAGATTTCGATACAGCACAGTGTGGACTAATATCAACTGTCCCTTCCGTATGGGATAGAGTGTTTCCCCCTCGCATGAGTGGGTTTTGTCCGGGTGTTCTGGTTTCTTGCCACATGTAGAAACACTGTTAATTGGCTGGAAACATCTTAAACAAATTGAGAACTGCAGAGCTTGGGCAATTGTTGGCGCTGTATCACCGCCTGTTGGCTGGCCCACCAATTTGCCTGTGGTTCTTCAGCAATTGTGATGCAATTTTCACGAACAATGCTATAAAAAAACACTACTTAAAGTGACAAAATAATTGAAAAAATCTTAATTTTTACGGTGTCATTCAATTAATTTGCTGCACCTTTTAAATATTATTTGTTTTACAACAAACATTTCATTGTGTTTATTTAACAAATTGAATGTTGACATTGACCTTGATCAAATCAGATAAACGTAATTGTGTGTTTGCTTTAAAAGTAGAGTTTTCAGTGTGGCCTGTGCTTTCCGCTTGGGGGATTGAGATGTGTATCTCTGGCCAGGCCTGCCTGGGTGCACTCAACACAGGGATAACCCAAACAGCTCTGTAGAAATCCTCGGAAGTGTGCATCGCCTTTGGTATTGTGTCGTATGGTACAGTTGTGAAAGAACCAGCACGTGGTACTGAAAGAAGGCAGTTTCAGTCCCCAGTTATAAAAGACACGCAGTCACACAGACTGTGTGTATGCAGTAAGCGTTTTGCATTTCATCAAATAACATTTATTCTTACGCTCACTGTTCATGTGTTAAATCGGTGGTTGAAGAATTAATTGCGTGCGATTTATGAAAGATGTAATGCTGACGCACCTTGACGCTAATGGAACAAAGAAGACAGACCAACACGACGAAACAAGTTACATGGACGCTACAAATAAGACCATACCAGACAATAAATGATTATCAAATCAAATTGTGACACTGAAACATGAGAACTCATTCACTCTGCAAGGCATGAGGGGGTCGTGACTTATTGCATGCTTAATCCATGTGTAGTGGGTTCAAGAAGAGAGCGAGATGTCTCTTAGAGGCAACACGTTTATTGTAACATTCAGGGACATAGCACAAAGGGGTAACGGCCCCTTCCACCCGATACTCTAGGGAGATATCTCCTCTGGACTAACGTGCTCTTCACTCTGGTTAAAGCTCTAACCCTACACTCAATATGCACTATTTTGAAGCCATGGAAATTGCATTTTTTTCTCCATGTTTGTGGCTGGAGAAACTTCCAGAATCCTTAGAGACATCTCGTTCGTTCTTCTTAAGCATATCACATTTTATTGATTTATATTTTTTGGAACAATTTGGAGGGACAATTTGGTTGAGAGCCTTAGGTTCGGGTTGCCGATAGTATTAACATCGCGGTGAGTGAACATTTGCATAAAAAATATATTGCACCGAAAATTTAAACAAATTCAACTGTTGGAGACTTCAGTGTCAGGCCTTTAAAAGCAAAGCCAGTGCTCTTTCGTTGCACATGATCTTTTTCTGCTGTCAGTAAAATGTGGCATTAGCTGGGGTTTATGGCATCAAATTTAATCTGAAACGCGTTATTGGGACGGGGATTAGTATAGGGCCTCATTGGAGATGCTTCTGGGGAGAATATTTGGTATTTGTAGGACGCATGGCGACTTTTGACTGTCTCCTTTACCTCCAATAAGTCAGGCCAGAGGATTTTCAGATATTTTTTGCCAATTTCTTACCGATTATTATTGGATTATTAAGCTGAAAGTAAGACAATTAATCGTATATATGTATCGATTAATCACTTTATACATGAAAAAAACTCACATAAATTAATAATGCATTCATATTGCTTTTCACTTCCAGAAAATATATATCAACTCTGTCGTTTTGGCTGTGGATCACGAACAAATGAATCTCTATTTTAAACCTTCGAGACAGCACCCTTGGCAAGGGGGCTGCACACTCAGACTCAGAATCAGAATATATATTCTGCACGGTTGGCTACTTACGGTGCAAAATAAATTCAACATACATACATTTTCACAGATGTCCAGTCAGCAATTGCTGCGATAATTACAGAATAAGAGTACGATGATGATGGCGGCAGTAACGATGATGGATGAGATGTTTGGTGGGTCGTGCTGAACCGCCTTATGCCTGGTGCCCTGCCAGGAGTTTGACCCAGAAGAGTTCTACCACCTCCTGGAGGCAGCTGAAGGCCATGCCAAGGAAGATCAGGGCATCAAGTCGGACATCCCGCGCTACATCATCAGTCAGCTGGGTCTCACGAGGGACCCGCTGGAAGGTTGGTGACTGCGCCCTGCACTGTTGCATTTGAAATGCAACCCACAGCAACAATAAGCGCTCACTCGTGTGAGTTGCCACAATTAAAATTGTCCTCGTGATGAAGCCAGGGGACCTTTAACTACCGCACTCATTCGATCCCCTGATTGCGGCAGTTAAAATAATGGGGTAATTTTCTTAAATTCGCCCACCCCTGTCCACCCAGCAGTGTTGACGACATTTCGCAGGGCGTGTGTGATGGAGCAAAGAGGAGACCAAAATATTTTGCAGAGGGGCTCGAGAACTTCCTCTAGTGGAGCACCTTCCACCAGCAGTGCATGAGCAAGTACTTGCAGGGTAGCACCTTTACCTTTAGCCACTTTACGTAATATCTCCCTGACCCCGTGCTGTTATCGATGTTCTTGCAGAAATGGCTCAGCTGAGCAGCTGTGACAGTGGGAACCCAGAGACCCCCGAGACCGACGATGCAACAGACGTGAGGGCTCCACTGTGCAACGTTTGCCACACGTGTGAAGCACGCAGCGTGCACACACACACACACAAACCTCGCCCTGCAGACATATGCCTGAGTTATCATCGTCATCTGCAACCATGGTCTTATCCACTGCTCGCTGAAAGTCACCGTAATTTGTCACCATCGCTCACCCTCCCGCAATGAATCGATCAATGTATTGCCTGCACATAAGCTGATTTCATTGCTGCATCTCCACGTTAGATGTCCTCTTGTGCATGCTCTCTTATTTAGCTACTACACCGTTCTCCTAGCGATGTCTCCTGCTTTCCAGCGATGTCGCCTGCCCAAGCCCACTTATTTTTCCCAGACAGTCAACACGATGTCTCTGACTTGAGTATGCTCTCTAATCAATGGGTTTCTCTTCCTTTTCTTTAGTGAAATTGAAAGCATGCATCTACTCGTGTATTTTTGCACACTTTTCAGCGATTGTTCGATTTTATTTGCATTTATTGAAAAAAATTACACTTTCTGGATGTAAGAACCTTTTTCTACTTTGAGGTATTGTGCCTGTCCCTCTTTAAACTTTTTACCTGGAATCTCACAGACTGCTGGTTTACTTTGATACCAAGTTTACTACCTTAATGTACATCTGTGGGATGTACAACTCTATCACTGGCCTATCACTGGGACGTGGCAGTTTGTAACCGCTGTTTATTCACACCATTGTTTTGCTACGTGGTCACGGTTTCCGCGGAGGACAATGTCATGTTCATGCATTCAGTGTAAATGCACTCGCCGCTTCCCTTGTTATTTTTGCACAGTCACGAGCGGCAGAGAGCCTGCCCAAGAAAAAGCCGTGTGAAGAGGATTTTGAGACGATTAAGCTCATCAGCAATGGTGCCTACGGGTAAGAGAGACGGAGAAATATTACAAGTCGAAGCTGAACCCAACTTTGAAGTTGTAAAACACTGCTCCGAACTGTTTAACTTTTATAATATATATTTTTTGTTAACGTGTAGATAAGGCGTAATATACTTGACTGTGTAATGCTGCCATCCGGGGTGGCTCTGCGTTAGAACCAGCAGCTCGCAATCGGAAGGTTTCCAAGTTCAAATCCTGATTGGGCAAATGACTCGGCCCATTATCCTACTGTTGACTTTGTGAGGAAGTCAACAGTGGTTGTTCTCGTGATACTGTCCCCACCATAGGAATGCAGAATTTTTACTGCAGACTCGGGGCTATAAGCAGGACATGGGCATTGCCTCAATGCTCATCTGAGCAGAAAACGAATTGAGTTTTTTCGTAGAGGTGCACAGATTAATACTCTAGTGACTTGGTGCCCACTTGCTTGGCAATTTGCCCCTGCATTGGCGAGCCGTTTGCTCCCTGCAATGTGATGCTGCACAGGGCTCCGAGGTGTTACGTTAAGCTGACATGGGCTGTGCATGCTGTCATGTAGCTGCGTGTCGTTGCACATAGCTGCATGGACATGTACAGCCCTCTGTTAATCCACCACTTTATCAAAGCTTCCCCATGTCCTGTCAGTTTGTCAGGAGTTTTTAAGCCGTACTTTACACCGGTCAGTGCGGTTTGGTTAAGGCTGGTAGCATATACGTGTGGGAACATAGAGGTTTTGTACTACAGTACATTTTCTTGCACTGCCCTCTTCTTCCTACTGCATAGCCTAAGTAGGGTTGAGCTTGGATAATGCTTGGATGGGCGACCATCATGCGTAACAGGTGTTTTGAGCTGTTAGGCCATGTAGCTGCACGTTGGCAACTGGTGGCAAATTGCCACACATGGCGGGGTGTAATTGCATATGGCTTGGTATGGCTGCGTTTACACAGTTGCACATGGTGGTCTGTACATGCATGTCTTCACTCTTGGTCGTGGTCGTTGGCGTTTGCGCATAGTAACTGATCACTTCAAATTTTTGCTCGTGATTGTGGTTAACTGCAAGTTGAGCATCGTTCTAAACGGCTGCACGCGTTGGCGGTTGCGCGTGACCGTTGCTCCACTTCGATTCCACGACGTCGTTCGTGGCCTTGCGCTGGTCACTGGGATGGCGCGGTTAAATCGGCTCGTGCGCTGATTGCTCCACGGATCGTTATTTACCAGGATCAAGAGAGGATTGATCGTGGCTGTGGTACCCCTTCCCCCTCTAGCGCGGTGTACTTGGTGCGGCACAAGGAGACTCGTCAGCGATTTGCGATGAAGAAGATCAACAAGCAGAACCTGATCCTGCGCAACCAGATCCAGCAGGCCTTCGTGGAGCGCGACATCCTCACCTTTGCTGAGAATCCTTTTGTGGTGGGCATGTTCTGCTCCTTCGAGACAAAGCGCCACCTCTGCATGGTCATGGAGTACGTGGAAGGTCAGTGATCGCTTCCTTTTTTTAAACGGTTCACTATTTTTCCACATGAGTGCTACCATCCATAGTAGTCTTCCTTATCCTCTGCAACATTTAGCGTATTCCCACAATGCCACGGAACGAGTGCTATTATCGACACGGTAACAGATAAAACTGATTATCACATTCGCATCCATCAACAACCCATGTGTTTGTCCGGGAAGCCTTTCTTAAGTCTCGCTTGAGTGCACTAATGCTCGGTTTTGATAACCTCCAAAATACGTGTTAAGCTTTGATAAGCTTTAAACGGCGGCAGTGTCGGTAAAAACAGGATCTACTGTGTAGGCTTTCGCAGTTGCGATGTGCGTCTCTCCGATGCGTGTTCTGGTTGTACTGTGCGTTGTTCGGCACTGTGTCCAACGTTTTGCTCTACACACTGGAAGTTTCTTCAGAAAACGGGATTCTGTTCATGTGTTTGTCACCTCGTACTGCTATTTGAAAGCTATCATAAAAATTGCTAACGAAATATCTTAAAACACATGTTGTAAAGTGTTACAAATCCACATACATGCATTCATGGTAAACGTTAATCAGGAAGATGATCCCATGAAGTCAGTGTTATTTTATTTTTGATGATAAAACAACCCTTCCTTCCATGTCCTTGTTTATTTGTATCTGTCTCTGCGTGCTCTGTGTGTCCCCGTGTGCGCTGTGTCTCTGTGTGCTCCGTGCGTCCTCGTGTGCTGTGTGTCCTCGTGTGGTACTGTGTGCTTCGCGTGACGCTGCGTGCTCCCCTTGGCCCCGTGTGCTCTGCGTGGCCCCATTTCCTCTACATGCTCTGTGCCGCTCTGTGCCGCTCTATACCGCATGTGCAGGGGGAGACTGTGCGACGCTGCTGAAGAACCTGGGCGCGCTCCCTGTGGACATGGCGCAGCTCTACTTCGCCGAGACGGTGCTAGCGCTCGAGTACCTGCACAACTACGGCATCGTGCACCGTGACCTCAAGCCGGACAAGTACGCTGCATCAAGTGCACGCGGTGCACGCACAACGAAGAGTACACACGGACACAGGAGGACACACAACGTGCAGTATAAGCGGCACCCATCCAAACATTCCGCGATCCACTCAAACATTCTCTATTCCAACGGAACTGTTGCAGATACTACGATTTAGGGTTGTGTTTTTTAATTGACTCATGGCGATCCTCCGGAATGTTTTGAGGGTTGATGGTGGTGCTGGTGTGGGACCGCTGCTGTGTACATGACGTTGAACAAATACAGCGTGCAATACACAGCACACCCAGCACAAAGCAGACTCAACTCACGGCACACGCAACATGCGATGCACGTACAGCATGTGCAGTGGGTTTTACGGAGGCACACACTTGAACTGGGAGGCAACACGTTTATTCTAACACTCCAACAGGGTAACTGCATAAACGTATGGGATCACGACATAGGTGGTGACTACCACGAGTAACTCAAACCACAATGGGGTAACTACATAACCGGGTCGGTCAGTAACGCACTGCCTGATCCACGAAGCCGAGCGTAATGACCGAAGAGACGTAGCACAGCCGGTTGATTCCAGAAGAGAGCCGCGATTGCTCTTGGGACCTCCCCTTTATGCTCCTGAGCGTGGCACCGCTCCGCTTGGGCCACGTCCCCTTCTGGATGTTACTATAAGGTTCTCAACTGAGCCACCCTTTGGGCCCGCTCGCTACCCTGTCCCGGTCACGTGTCCTCTCGGGTTCACCCAGACTGTCACGTCCTTACTTGCCCTCTCTCTCTCACCGTCACCAGAACCATGCCCCCTAGGGCAGCTTCCATGCCATGCCCACTCTGGTGCCAGGGAGAGGCTCAAGACGCACACTTCCACTCTTGTGATAGTAGCTGGCGCTAAACGGCATCGTGACTTCATTTACGTCACTACACATGCAAAACGTGGCGCACAAAAGTATTTACGTTACACACAGCACACACAGCATGCAATACACAGCTTTTGCAGATGCGGGTGAAACCATCTAGAGATAGGAGCTCATTTAGCAGGTGTTTTTTTATTCACCGTGTACAGTGAACTCCACACGCACAGAGCGTGAATTGCACGAAAATGTAACAAAAACGAGTGCATTGCACTTGTCCGTCCGTCACTCACCCGCCACCCCCCCCCTCCTCACCCCCAGCCTGCTCATCACATCCATGGGTCACGTGAAGCTGACGGACTTCGGACTCTCCAAGATCGGACTCATGAGCCTCACCACGAACCTGTACGAGGAGCACATCGAGAAGGATACGCGCGAGTTCCTCGACAAACAGGTGAGTGGGGAGTGGGGGAGAGATGAGGTGGAGGAGAGACGAAATGGAGATGATGGACGAGGTGGAGATGGGGGGCTAGAGAACACAGGATGTAGGGCCAGCTAGCCGAGTAGCTTAGAGGGGCCACTCCTGTGGCATGAGCTCTGAGCTGCCACCGCTGAGTGTTTTGGGTTTGAATTCAAGCGCCTGCCTGTGATTAAGCCTGGTTCTCAACAAGTGTGGCGAGTTAATGATCTAATCCCAAGCATCGATGATTAAACAAAAACATCATATTGAAATAAATGTGTGTTTTAGCCTATTTCAGCTTTGATTACTGAATTTTTTGTTAAATTTTTAGTAGAAGATGCCCCATGTAGTGTGGCATTGCCTCCTACAAGAGCTCCCCGGACCAAGCAGTTTTGTCCATGTGTAGTGGGTTTACGGAAGGCGGAGACGAATCCTTTGGAGGCAGCGTGTTTATTCAATAACGCTAACGGTATCGCACAGTCTTTCACAAGGGCAACGGCCCTTTATGACTACTGCTTGGGGAGGTATGGCCTCCGGACTGGTGTGCCCTATCACGGGGCTACGGGCTCTCAGTCCTCCGGCTATGAGTGCCTTAGGGGAGGCTGCACTGACCAGACCCAGCCAAGGTGCGGGTCCCGACCACTGGCCCACTCGGACCCGGCCCTTACAAGGATGTCAGGCCGGGGGTTCCCAGGGTCTCACCACTGTCCCACAGAGTCCCGTCCCTTACAAGGGCAGAGGGGCTAGGGGTCCCAGGGTTCTAAGCTAGCTGGTCTTCTGGCTTCGGTCTTGGACTGGCCCCGGGTCCTTACAGAGGTCCGGCTTTTTTACACCTCCCAGGTGTGTCAGCCCTGGCCACGCCTCCCTTCCAGAGAGTTCCAGGGGGGGTCCCAGGGGATCCTAGGACACCCCGCAGCCCCCTCCAGCTTTTGGGCTGGGGAATGTAGTGACCCACATGCCGGTGCAAGTTACTGCCCCTGATGAGATGTGTCTGCTACTGCAGGTAAGTGCACAAAGCCCATTTACAGCGCTACACATGTCTTGTGTGTAGAGCTGTGTTGTGTAGTAACTCTTGACACCAATGTGTATGTGCATGTGAGAGACCAGGTTTGTATAATTTTATTGATAACTGGGCACGAGTTTAAAGTACGTCTTACGTTTCCATAGAGCGTCTTATAATTAAGAAAACATGGTTGTAAGATAATATAAAATATATTACGCGATTATATTATCTCGAAGCCATTTCCGGTTTGCGGCGGTGGGGTGACCGAATGGCAGGAGATGTCTCGGTGGGAAATAAACTGTCGGACGCGCGCTGTCAAGGGCAATGCGGACGCCAGGCAATTAAGAATCTGTCTGCTCGGATCAGCGTCTCCCAGTGTGACGGGCGCTCTCCAGCGTGGGATTCGGCAAAAAATGTAATCACTTCGAAATGCACAGGGTTAAGATGTGTACCTTTTTTCTAGTCAGCATTTTCCCGTTATGTTACCACTGGAAACAGATGAGCACATGAGAGATTGAAATATCTTGTCATACTGTATTTTTTTATAATTAAGTTGATGCTCTGAAGCTGGCTGAACTTTACACTTGTATTTTTTTTAAGTTAACAGTGTTGTGGTGGATTGATCTCTTTATCTGTGCCAGAAACTTGTCTGTCAAACATATGCGCTAAGCTGATGTAGATACAGTACATCCAAAACAGAAATGTCGTCTTTGGAAACAGAATATTTAAAGTGACATGGCCTGGTTTATGTTGGGTTTTTTTCTCCATGGCTCTGGTTTTTAAGTTACAAGTCAGGAATTGTGTGGAAAGTAAATTCCCTAAGTAAAAGTGTAATTATCCAACGCGACCAGCTGTAGAAATTTCAGGCAATGGGCCTGCTCTTCTGAAGTAATACCATTACCCATATAACGCTAAATGAATACATATGCTTCAACAGCAAAGCAACGACAGTGGTAAAATATTTTCAACCTCTGCATCTACACCTCCGGAATATTTTACGAAAGATTATTTCAATCAATCATGATGGTGATAATAGATTTAATTAGTTAATGTTAAGTTTTTTAATGATGGGGTGCTTGGCCCGCAGGAGACTTTGGTGCAAAAAACAAAGGTTCAGACTTTTGATTTGGGGATGTAAAACTATGGAGCTGCAGAAGGAGCAGGAAGTAGAGGCTGTTCATGCACAAGGTGAATTAACCACTTAACGGTTTGTTTTTTTCGTGTGTTAACTTGACTCCTCGCTGCCTCCCGCCCTTCCTGTGCCGCACCGCAGGTGTGTGGCACGCCCGAGTACATCGCGCCGGAGGTGATCCTGCGGCAGGGCTATGGCAAGCCTGTCGACTGGTGGGCCATGGGCGTCATCCTGTACGAGTTCCTCGTCGGCTGCGTTCCATTCTTCGGGGACACGCCCGAGGAGCTCTTCGGACAAGTCATCAGCGGTGAGTGGCCCGCGCAGGTCAGGATGGTGACGTGGGTATCAGCTCACTTTGCGCTGGAACACTGTTCCCAGTGCTTTTCAAGAATGTTTCCTTAAAATAACTGCTTCTGTTCCCCCTTCCCCTCGCTTCCGCAGTGCAGCACTTGTCACATTTTCAGCAGCAGTGCTCGACACTGCATGATCATACAGGCACCCCAGTGCCCCTTTCTCCCCCGACTGGTCTGGTACAACGCCAGTGATGTAGCCTGCCAGTTCATCTGTGACTTACTGTACACTGCATTTGGCTCATTGTGCTTATTTGCTTTCACATCGCGCACTTTCATATGTTCTTCTGCGGCCGTCTGTAACGCTCTTTCTACTGATATTAGAAAGCCACTGGAGCTATGCACTTTTAAATAATTTCGATTTAAAACAATTTTTTCTTTAGAACTGCTTTTTGTGTTTAGTTTGTCCTTCCCCCGCACCTCTAATTATCACAGTTCGCTACGCACGGTGTGAAAGTAGTTCAACAGCCATATATACATATGTTTCTTTTCCATTTTTCATGAATGATACTGCTTCAATTACACGATTCGCACATTTGTCACTAACACTGCCTCATAACATATGTAATGGGCAAACCGTTTCAGCAATTGCTATTCTGAGCAATAATTTGTGCTTGTATTCAACCACAAGTGCTGCTCCTTGTTTTGTATTGTATATTATTATTTTGTATCTTTTTATTAATATGCGAACATGCTTCTCCGCAACAAACCTAGCCCGGCGTTGCCCGGGTCTCAAAAATATTTCAAAACTACTCTTAAAAATGTAACATCAGAGCGTACTGACTGGTGGTACCTGCTATGATGACAGCAGTGCATACTGTGGTGGTACCTGCTATGATTACAGCAGTGCATACTGTGGTGGTACCTGCTATGATAATAGCAGTGCATACCGACTGTAGTGCTACCTGCTATGATTACAGCAGTGCATACTGATTTTGGTGGTACCTGCTATGGTCACAGCAGTGCATACCAACTGTGGTCGTACCTGCTATCACTACAGTAGTACATGCTGACTGTATGGCATTATCTATCGACTCTTTAACACAAAGTACTCACCTGACAGAGTGGCATTATGAGGCTTAGTCCCATGTGGTGGTATCTGCTATGATTACAGCAGTGCATACTGTGGTGGTACCTGCTTTCACTGCAGCAATGCATACTGTGTTGGTAGCTGCTATGATTACAGCAGTGCATACCGACTGGTGGTACATGCTATGATTACAGCAGTGCCTACTGACTGTGGTGATACCTGCTATGATTACAGTAGTGCATACTGACTGTGGTGATACCTGCTATCACTACAATAGTACATGCTGACTCTTGCAGTATTTATTGACTCTATAGCACCAAGTACTCATCTGACAGAATGGCGTGGTGAGGTCTAGTCCCGTGCAGAGCCTCCGGCCTTGCCTAGATTGTTCAGCCGGCCGAGGTGGCACCTTGGCAGTCTGGGGCTGGGCTGCTACCCCTGCCCCCCCCCCCCCCCCCCCCCCAGGCACGATGTCCCACCTACCGACTGTATAGTAATAATAACTGCACGCATCGTGGTGGGGGGGACATGAGACAGTGAAGAAATTACCTAAGCGTTTAGTGTATTTTTTCTCGGATTTGTAACGCGACCCTCACTCCCACTGAAGGCGTGTGACTTGGCATGGGCCATCCTCCCCACCAAAGGCGCGTGAGTTGGTAAGGTCATGCATGCGTCATAAATAAATGAATAAAAACGAAGCGCACAAAAATCGCTGTAAATTGCTAATTAAACTAATTAAAAGTTGACGGATGTGAAAAAGGAATAGTGCTTGCTCACGGCTGGGCTTACGGCGTGGTGCCTGGCTATTTAAATCCCTCTCACTCCCACCGAAGGCATGCGACTTAGCATGGGCGGCCCCCCCCACCAAAGGCGCGTGAGTTGGTATGGTCGATCGCGCACTATTGAATAAATAAACGAAAACGGCACTAAATCGCAATTTAACTACTTTAAAGTTGATGTATGGGAAAAAGGAATAGCGCCTGCTCACCACGGGGCTTATGGCGTGGTACCTGGCTATTTTTTTTTAAACATAGACCCCACCGTTTGAGAGCCAAATCCTTCGCAAGTGTGCGAATACACACAGATAGACGGACATAAAAAAATGACAATTACATATAAGATTACGTTTCTCACATGGCATATCAGCTGCGTTTTCATGCTCACTTGCAGCATTTAACCACACAGTCCAGATGTGTCCCTTGTTTTAGCCAAATTTTATTTAAGGAAGCGTAAGTTTTAGCGCAAAACAGCATGTTAACTTTATTAGCATCCCCTTAGGATTTGCTTTTTTTATTCATCAGTTTTTTTCATGAATATAGCATGAACATTTGAAATGCATTGTTTTTTTTAAAGGTTATTTTACTCTTGGAAAATTGTCTGTGCCAAAACGTGCTTGTCAGCAGTAAAGTAATAATCTCCAGCCATTGCACGTTTTAATGGAGGGTACTTGGTGTTCTTGCTGTTCGTGCCAACCCTGCCCGAGTCATGGTTTTGTTCCTTTCTGACCTGACTTTAGCTGAAATTGGAAATCTCAACTGCTTCACTTTATTTGCAGTGTGCTCTTTAAAAGAACATTTCCTCGCTTGCAAAAAAATCGCCGTGCTTTGAATGAGCCAAACTAATTTGGCATGGTGTATGTTGGCGAGGTCTTGGTCTGTATCTGGTAATGTGTGCTACAAAACTGGCATGCGATTCCCGACCACGGCTCACCAGTCCCGGCATGATATCACAACTTGTACTGCGCCACCGACCCAGCCTTACATCAGTACTTGGTACGTGGCATAAAATATCAGCACTGGGGAGACGATGGAAGTGAGGTGCATTATTGGATATTCCATCACCCCTTTGTGCACTGTGCCAGCCTTCATTCTTGCTCTCTAATTGCACTTACCCAAACTTGAAGGCTATCTAGGGGGATCTTCACATCGACACAACGCGTGTTGGCACGCGTTATGCCGATGTATGCACACGTGCTTACGTGCGTGCCCGCGTGTGTTCCTCTGGTGATGTTTGTGCTGCTATGCAGATGAGATCGTGTGGCCCGAGGGAGAGGATGCACTGCCATCAGACGTCCAGGACCTCATCACGGGGCTGCTTGAGCGAAATCCTCTGGAGCGGCTCGGCACGGGTAGGCGACAGCATTCCGCCGTGCCAATCGCGGTTTCTTGCCGACCCTGCCACGCTCAATGCTTTGCTTCCTCCTCACAACACCAGTGACATGTGAAATGTCAATTTTTTCTGGGCCTCTTCTATCTCAACGCAGCCTTCAATGATCACCCTCATTTAAACAGAACTAGGGAGACAAACGCATAGGCAGCTGAGCAACACTACCATCTTGTGCGCTATAGTGGCCTTAATAAGTTATCATAACACTTGCCCTAGCAGTCTCCGTGGTTATGTTGGAGATCTTTGTTTATGTGTTTCATTTCCCACGTGTTTGTGCCCAGTCTGAATGCCACCCAGCAGCGTAGCTATCAAGTGTGCAGACAGTGCAACTGCCTACAGGCTGGAGGTTTCCAGGCACCGGGCTATGAATAAACTGGGCAGGCAGCCCCATTTCATTTCTCGCACCAGGGCCCATGCCATCCACACTACGCCACCGATGCCACCCGCGTTAATGCACCTGTCTTTGTGTTCCCCTGTGCGCGTTCGGCCATCAAGGTGGAGCCTTCGAGGTGAAACAGCACCAGTTCTTCCACAGCCTCGACTGGGACGGACTGCTCCGACAGAAGGCGGAGTTTGTGCCTCAACTCGAGTCCGAGGAAGACACCAGCTACTTCGACAGTAAGAGGCCGTGTTTCGCCGCAGCCACGGAACGCCTGCATCGAAACGTCTTTGCTCGCTGGCACGGGCCACACACCCCTTCGTGCACGCGAATGACAGTCAGCCCCAACATTCTATAACGAGGGATCTTTTTCCATTTTGTGTCGTGCGCTTGCGCAGCGCGCTCGGATCGCTATCACCACCTGGACTCCGAGGACGACACAAACGACGAGGAGCCACTCGAGATGAGGCAGTTCTCCTCCTGCTCGCCCCGCTTCAAGGTACGCCACGGCCCTGCGGGCTGCTGACACTGCGGCACGGGCCAGGCCTCCGTGCATCCCTTGCTTACCTGGTGGTAATCATAGGGAACGCAGCACATTGGAGGGGCTGTGCTCATATCCACACACTCAATGTAAATAATAAATAGAGCAGAAATATATTATCACCCTTTGTCAATTCACTGCTGGATGAAGGCCTCCCTACATTGTTCACTCTTCCTACATCTTGCTGATCTAACTTAAACATATATATGTGAGCATTACAGAAAAAAACCTCACATACACTTTCACATGAACTGAATTTCATTTTATGTAGCAATTAAATATTTTAAAAATCACTTTAATTCCATGGGTCGGTACAAAAAATCATATATTGGTAGAATGGTTTCAAACTCCGAACTTGGAGGGAAATTATGAAGACCACTTTGGGTACTACAAGATGAATTGTAGAGAAGGACTAGCGATCTAGACCAGATCCTGGAGATGATCTTGAGAGAGGGGGTGAGGAGAGAAATGAAGACATAACTTATCAGATGGAGGACATGCCCAGTACCGTGTAACTCTGGTCCTCTAAGGATGTTCACCCAGGCTGCAATTGTGACGAGTGTATCAAACAAACTCAAACGGTCCCCTGCCTCGCTCTGCCTGCCTCTCCTACTAGGTTTACAGCAGCATGGAGCGTCTGTCCCACCACGACGATCGGCGCATCCCCACCACGCCCGCGACGCCTACGCCCACCCCGACGCCCAAGCGCAGCGCCAGCGAGGACAAGGATGAGCGCGGCAGCCTCGTCACGCTGCGCGCGCACGACAAGGGCTGGATGCTCGGTTCGCCAGAAATGTGAGCGGCGTTGTTGCGTTTGCCATACTCCGCTCTGGTTTAATATAAAAGCTTTCGAGACCAATTTATCCATAATAAAGGTTTCTTTGGGTTAGATCACGTAAATATAGATGTCTATATTTTAGCCCGCCGCCACCCAACACAGGCACTAAACACACTTCAGCACACCAACACACCGGTGTGCTGAAGTAGTAACTAATTGGCACGTTTTGTTTGCATTACAAACCTTATTAATTGGCTGTGTCAGGTGGTGGCAGATTCACTGCACATTTATACTTAGGCGATCTAACCCAAAAAACTTTTATGATACTCCACACCTCCTCCCGTTTGTATCGTTGCGCATTTAACCCAGAGGACTCGCTACTCAGCCCTTGCATGTTTGCACATGGCAGTCCAGCGTCTCCACTCGTTCCTGTCCAACGCTTTGCAAAGTGCCTCTGGTGATGTCCGAGCCGATGTTTTGAAGATCTTTTCCAGCAGTCTCCCTGACATCCAAGTGTGGGTTTCCAAGTCGAGCTGCATGTTGAGCATTTATTCTCTCAAGGTTGTGCAGCAGCAGCAGAAGAAGAAATGCTCAACACGTGACCAAATCCAGATAATCTTGCCTGTGTTAAATAGTCCGTCTTCTTCCCTGGAGGGAGGCTGCCGGGTGGGTTATTCCAGTCCTAAGCCTGGAGGAAGGAAGAGGGTTTTGCAATGGTCTTATAAAAACCTACTGCAACACAAATGGTACAGTGGCAACATTACTGGCAGGACAGTTGTACCAATGTTATAGCAGAGGCCAAAGCTGCAGAGAATGGAGTAGCTTGATCATTGAGGTTACGAATTATCGGTAATGAGGAGAGAGAGTTACTAATAATGAGTAGGAGATATGACTTGTGACAATATGAATTTCCCTTTTTGTGTAAGTTGAGTAACTTTAACATTTTCCAGCAATGCGATTGGTTTTCTTTGTTACCCTCTGGTGTCATGTCCTGTTACTGTTTTCACGGCAGCTTCACTGGCCAGAGCTGTGTGATTAGACGGCATTTGTCCGCGCGCTGCTTATTTTCTCTGTCGACGCGTGTGACGCGACCGGCGTCCGTCTGTCTCAATCCCCAGCCTTCGCAAGCGTCTGTCGGGCTCGGAGTCGTCGCACACGGAGAGCGACGGGAGCCCGCCCGTGACGGTGCGGCGCCGGCGCTCGGCGCTGCTCGACATGCCGCGCTTCGCCATCGCGCTCGAAGACCAGGAGGGCGAGGCGGCCTGCACGGCGGCCGCAGCGGCAGTCGCGATAATGGGCGGAGGAGGTGCGACGTCGTCGCACGCGCCCGTCGCACGGAGCGGCAGCAAGTCCGGCGCCACGCAGGCGCTGCTCACCATCGGAGAGCTGGCGCTGACGGAGGAGGCTGGCGGGACGCCCACCACCCCGACGGGCAGCGGCGGCGGCGATAACAGCAGCTCCACACTGTCCGGTGAGAGACGGCCACGCTCGGCGCTCTTGACACCGATGGGGAAACCTTCCGTAAATGGACAGTTACCATTCTGGCATAAAATATTAACTTAAACGGCCAAAAACCTTGAAGGCTCGAACTTAAACACCCATCTGATAACTCACATGCAGAGTACCACTCGTTGCAGAGGCATCAGTGGCAGGTGGCTCGAACTAACAGGATTCAGCCCCTACTACCCTGCTCACTAACACAGCCTAGACATGAAAAGCTCTCAAGGTCACCACGAGCGGAGCACGTGGGAACCCGACACAATCGGTGACCACATGTCCTTGGGCTTGTCAGCCTACCACATGCTCATCTTGTGGAAATCTTGCAGGCAATCATTTTGAAATATGTTTACTTGTATAGAATGCAATAATTGTACTCAATAAAAATATCGAGGTGCACCTTAAAAAAATAATATTATCCCCACCATGAGAGGACACACCTATTCAACTCACTGCAGAAGTAAGTGTACCTGTTGTACCATCTCCAGGGTCCGTGTCGTTCACTGACGTGGCAATGATGCTTCGATAATTATGGGAGTTTCGCCAGAAAGTTGTCTTGCCTTCCAACCCAATTCTCTAAACTAAACTGAAATATAAAAATGCTATTTTACCAGGTACGGCCTCCCGAGATATATAGCTGTTTTTCAGAAACAACCTGGCCACAAGTGATAGCTCAGCGAAGTTGCTTATCATGTGGAAATGTATATCAGCCAACTACTCTAAATGCACATTGATTCGAAATGTGAAGGGAAAAACTGGAGGACCCGGAGAAAAATCCACACGACCACAGGGGGGGAGACGTGCAAACTCCATATATACAGTCGTCAGGATCGTTCAGGACCTCCTGTACACTCGGCGAAGTAGTCAACATCTCACCACCTTGGTATCCCGCCCCCCCCCCCTCGTCCCGGCGCAGTAGAGAGCGGCACGGACGTCTTGGAGGGCCCCGCCCGTTCCCGTGGTGACAGCGCCGACTGCTCGCTGCTGGACGGCGCCGCGTCTGCGGCCGCGTCGGCGACGTCGGCCAAGGCGACGAGCGACCTGGCGGTGCGGCGCGCGCGCCACCGGCTCATGTCGGGGGAGGCCGGGGCGACGCCGGCCGTCGGGGGACCGGCCCCCGAGCGGCGCAAGGCCAAGCCGCTCAACAAGGTCATCAAGTCGGCGTCGCACAGCGCGCTCTCGCTCGTCATTCCCTCCGGTGAGACGCCTGATGGCGCACTCGCCCCACCGCAGAAAACGTTACTCGTTTAGCGAAGCCTCGCCGAGCAAATGGGTATTCGTGTATTCGAGAAAGTCCTGCGGGGTGGCGTGATTGCTCAGTTAATTTTGAATACTTTCCACCTCAGGTTAAGTGCGTATACTTTAGTTCTGTATATCCGCCCGTCTGTCCAGAAATGATAATAACTCTTGTAAAGATGATCCGGTATAAACAAGCCTGTGTTTTAAAGTTATGCTGATCTCAAGGACTCGATTTACCAAAACATTAACAAAATTGATCAGAGCGTTTCCCAAAACTTGGAGACACAAACCTGAGCATTATAGGACTACTTGTAAATAAGTAAATGCGTTTTTCCATTACAAATACACACCAGCTTCCTTACCACTGAAGAAAAAACAAATAAAAAGGCATGTTGTAAGCGTGACAGTATTCGGTACATGTGCGTGGAATACTTGTGCTCTTATAGCTCATATTGTATAAGGGCACAAGTGCAGTTTCACTAACCCACTTGCTGTACTGCCGTCTTCTGGCCACTTCATTGTCACGTGAGTCTTTGTGATCCTTAAATTCTTGACTCCACAGTGGTGAATTACAAGTGCGAATTGTCATATTTTCCATTAAATACACAAAAAAAATGGATTTTATCATATACAAACTTTGGATGTGTATTTTGGGCTCAACTCCATGTTCTAATAGCTGCGTTCATGTGAAGAAAATATGTGAAGGTCACAATAAGTAGCTCCGTCACATTGCTGTTGTCATGTCACTTCATGGAGATGCTAAAATCCGAATCAGACGGTGTGGCAGTTATGTCAGTCACGTGGCAATAACTATACTCTTGATTGTAACGCGTCTTGTTTCTCACTGACACACTTTGCAGAGCTTAGAGCTCATGTTAGGCATGCCGGAGCAGACAGCTAAAGTTCCGTCTACATTACATGTCGGAACCCATGTAATCCTCTCACATTTGGAACAGTGCGGCTACGTGCAGTGGTATGGACGCGCCAGCGGGTGCATGTGTGCATCTCTGGGTCGTTTGCTTACGTGCGGATGTGTGTGCGCACGTTGGCGTGCTACAGAGCAGTACGTGGGCTCCCCACTGGCAAGCCCCATGTCCCCGCGCTCGCTGTCGTCGAATCCATCGTCGCGAGACTCGTCCCCATCGCGGGACTTCTCCCCGGCGCTGGGGGCGCTGCGCTCGCCCGTCGTGATCCACCGCGCCGGCAAGAAGTACGGCTTCACGCTGCGCGCCATCCGCGTCTACATGGGCGACTCGGACGTCTACTCTGTGCACCACGTCGTGTGGGTGAGTGAGTCAGGGTCGCACGCTGGGTGGATTCAAAAGAGAAGAAATAATCATTGGTGGGGCGATAGATGGGGAGAGGGACCATAGCAGTGGTTGTTCGCTTTGACAGAGGTCTTGTGAAGCCGACAGAGTTAAAAGAAAAACGGCGAGATCAACTCAGACCACAACGTGGACGAACGGAGACAAAGATGGAATGACGAGCAGAGGGAGGTGTCCGTCGAATATTGAAAAAACTTTAGAATAAAGTTTTTTTCTTTAGAATAAAGTTTTTTTGCAACTAGGGACTCAGCTTATTGAAAATCGGCCAAATGAATAAAAACTTGGGAAACAAACCCAGCTAATAAGACTAATTGCAATCCACTTCCATCCTGCTCATTAAATACTTCCGATTTTGGAAAGCGTTGCATAATCCATCCATATGCACATTTTTTCCTAATTTGTTTGCTTTTTGTGACTTTTTTTGTGGCTCGCTCTTTGTGGCGGCTGCTGCTGCTCTCTTGACCGTGGCAGAACGTGGAAGAGGGCAGCCCAGCCAACGAGGCCGGACTGCGCGCGGGTGACCTCATCACGCACGTCAACGGGGAGCCCGTGCACGGCCTGGTGCACACAGAGGTGGTGGAACTCATCCTGAAGGTGACGACACCACTTCCTCATCCTCCCCACAGCTCCTGCTGGCCTCCTGCTATGTTTTCTTTCATATGGCATTTGTAAAGCAACTACTTGTGGTGTATTGACTGGGCGCCTTGTAAGGGCTGATCAGTATTTTGCCATTGGTTTTTGGAGAGGGAGGCGATTATCGTATTCGGTCACCGATTTGATGACATATTTTTTCACATGTGGCAGGGAAGCCGGGAGAATATTGCCACGGTGGCGAGTTGTTAATTACCTCGCCTGGTTTCCAGGTCGTGGGTTTGATCCAAACATATGTCCATATGTTTGGAATTTGCATGTTCTCCCCGTGGTTGCGTGGATTTTTCTTCAGTTCCTCGTTTTTTCCCTCCACATTTAGAAACATGCGTTTAGAGTATTTGGCTGCTATAAATATCCACATGATAAGCCACTTCGTTGAGCTATCATATGTGGCAATGCTTCTTCTGAAAAAGAGCTCTATAGCTCAGTGGGCCTTACCTGGTAATATAAAAAAAAATCAAAATCTTCCATGCCTTTTGTAATAGGAATAAGAATAAAAATGTAATCGAGATCATGTAGCCATCTATGTAACGAGTCATTGAATCTTACTTTGCCTACGATACACGCGTCAAATCGTGTACATGAAAATAAAATTTATTTTGTCTATTTCCCTCATGGTATCCCACCTGGACTCTCGGCATCATGAGATGAATCCATGAGGATCTTTCGCAGAGCAGTGCAAACCAGACCTGAGATCTCTTCAAGTGACCTACCTCTGGTTCACGCAGTAGGGGGCAGCATTTTCCACCAACCCCGCCACAGAGAGTAAATGATCGTCGCATTACAGTAAATAAAATATTTTAATTCTTCTCCCTGAATTTAAGCCAAATGAAAATGTCATTGCCGTCATTGTGGAGACTAAGTAATGTAAAATAGTTAATCAGAAAACATGCCTCTTTCATATATCGCTCCACATAAAAAAACAAGCCTCTGTTGCTTGTATTTGAATCAATACTGCTGAAATGATGCACTCTCACAACTGTAAAGCTGATGGTTGTGTTTAAAAAATGCTTTTATTGTTTATGTTGACAGACAGACTTAGGAGATGTACAGTCTGCTTATCTATTTTGTTCACCAAATGAAGTGCAGAACCAAATTTGACGTGACGGATTTGTTGTTGTTGCGGCCATTGGTGATCAGGCTAAGTTTATCACTTTCACTACATTCCGACACATTTTAATCACGGGTGGCTGCCCCAGATTAAAACCCTGGATCTCAGCAGTGCTGTCTCTAATGTCTGACTCCTAAGCCACCTGGCCAACTTGCTCGTTAAGGCTCACTCCTATGTGTGTGTGTGTTGCCCTTTTGCGCTTTGCTCGTCATCTGCTGTAGAGCGGCTACAAGGTGTCCATCGCGACGACGCCGTTTGAGAACACGTCCATTAAGGTGGGGCCTGCACGGCGCGGCAGCTACAAGTCCAGGATGGCTCGGCGCAGCAAGAAGAGCAAGAAGAAGGAGGGAACCGACAAGTGAGAGAGCGGTCGTGGAGCTCAAGGAGCAGCGGACATTAATAGATGATTTTGTTAACCTCGCTCGCGGCAGGCAGACACCGGATATGTTTTCCCGTACTGTACAACGCCGCATATTCCGAATGTCACCTGTCTGAGGTGACCAATGAAACACCTAAAGCCCAATTGAGGGATTCTTGTATGGTGTAACTGTCATTTTCTCAAAGATGTTCACAAATCTGACCCATTCACATGCAGTTAATATGATCTTTATTTCACGTACAATCTTTCATTTCTGAAGTATGGTCAAGCATTTCCCAATGTATAAAGCAACAAAAGTGCAGACCAATTGATTGTATTTATCTGTTTGACGTCACTAAACCCTGAGCTGTCAACACCAACAACTCACCGCGTTTGTACCCCTGTGCCTTCTACGCCCCCAACTGCCCCGCACCACACAGTCGCAAGCGCACGCCGCTGTTTCGCAAGGTGACACGCCAGGTGACGTTGCTGCAGACGAGCCGCAGCCTGTCGTCCCTCAACCGCTCGCTGTCGTCCAGCGAGAGCGTGCCGGGTTCGCCCACGCACAGCCTGTCCCCACGCTCGCCTCCGCAGTGCTACCGCTCCACCCCAGACTCGGCACACTCCGGTGAGGCGCTCCTTCGGTTGTTCCTCCTTCAATGCGATAATGAACAACCGCGTTCACCCTGACTGAGCAGCCAATCGCGTTCACCCTGACTGCACAACCAACCCCGTTCAGTCTGTTGCAGCAGCCCGCTAATTCACTCTGTTTAATGACTAATTCACCGTTACCAAAAGACTGTTGAATTGACCCTTGACCAAACCACCAACAAATTCACCAAATGATCGACCGATTTACCGCGATTGAACGACCGTGCTTTTTGCCTATTTTATTCACCAATGACAGTAGATTCTCTGTCTACCATGCTTCAACCTCTCACACTCAATGCCACACTTGCATTCATATTTCTTTGTCAGATTGAGGTACTCACATTCCCGTTTCATCATCTCCACCCTGTGCTGGGATTTTGTCCTCGCACACTTTCTGTCTGCCTTAAACAGTAAATATGATTCATTTTGTCTTTCATTGAAGAAATGCTAAACCACATAAAAGTTCCTTCCCCAATTTGTGTTTGTATCTATATTATATAAAAAGTAAACTTTTGTTTCAATTAGGTATGATGATAATTTTTTTTTAAATGAAAGTCATTTTAATATTTTGTATATAGCGTCTTCTGCAATTGTATCTCCATTGGGCTATCGATGTTGTGTCATGAGACTAAGTATCCAATTGGATGGATCTCTTATCGGCACAACTCTTCACATTAGAGAATGGCGCACAGAAGCGGATATAACTAAATTATCTCTGAAATCTCTTGAAGTGACCTAATTCCCTCACAATAGCAAGCAGCACTACACCCTGTGCCACAATGCGAATGATCATCGCTTGACAGTTAAACCCGTATTTTAATCTTCAGAGCAGAAATTTTGCTAAATTCATTGCAGAACTGAAATTATTGTGATGGGTTTTTTTTGTCATCTGAAAAGCACAGTAGGGAGCTGCACTCTCCCACCCACTCTCCGATTAGCACCTCCGATTAGCACGGTTGGCTACGTACGGTGCAAAAGAAGTTCTACATACATACATACACTCTGCCGCTGAGAGTCCTAACGGGTGCCCGCGTGTGTACCCACATTCCCCCCCTCCCACTCTTTACCCATCTGCCATCACCAGGAGGTACGTCGTCTCCGAGCAGCTCCCCGTGTTCCAGCACCCCTAACTCCCCCGCGGGCTCGGGACACATCCGACCCAGCACCCTGCAGGGGCTGGCGCCCAAAGTGCAGCGCACGTACCGCTCGCCGCGCCGCAAGTCAGCCAGCAGCATCCCCCTGTCGCCGCTGGCGCGGACACCGTCCCCCGGGCGACCTTGCTCCAGCGCCACGGGGACGGCGGCCGGAACCGGAGCGTCCGGGTCCCCTCCGCCCTCGCGCTCCGAGTCGCCCACACCCACGCCGTCGCCCGCGCTCTGCCATCCCGGGCTCGCGGCCGGCGCCGGCGTGGGCAAGATGCACTCGTCGCCGCCCACCGTCATACGGCAGGTGAGAGATGGAGTGAGCGAACTAGCGATCGTTTGATCGATCATGTGCATGCACAGGCGCAGCGAGTGGGATGTGGACTGTGTGGCGGCACGTGCAGAAGTGCGGGTTGCTGTGCCGTTCACTGGATACGGTGCGACGAACGCCGGTGTGGTTCTGCGGCTTCTAGCCAGGCCTGGTAGAACGCGGTGTGGCCCTCCATGTACATAAAGGAAATCTCAACCCAAAAACACAATATGTTCTTGTTTGTAGAGACATGCCTGGGCTGTGCATCATCCACGGCTGTTTTATATTAATGAAAAGATTTGTTAATGAGAAAGAAGACAAACTATGATGAATCTTGTCATCATGGCACTACAGTGATGGCACTGCCATGTATTCAATGAACAAAGCTTCATATTCGTATATTAGCATCCATGACATATGACATGAGCGTTTACTGAATGTAGGTTCTTTGAAAGGATGTTTCTTTGCCTTGTGTTAAAATCCAGCTTGCTCTCTTGACAGACATACCACGTGTTGTTGTTTTGCTTTCCCACCTCCACACACAGGTATTTGTGAATGCCTCCCAGTCCACGCGTCCCAAGAGCGCCGAGCCCCCGCGATCCCCACTGCTGAAGCGCGTGCAGTCGGCTGAGCGTCTCGCCTCCGTCTACAATTCCGACAAGAAGCAACAGCAGCAGCAGCAGTTACAGCAGCTGCAGCAGCAGCAGCAACAGCAACAGCAAGGGCAGGCACAGCACACGCCGCTTTGTCGCAAGCCCGACCCGTGCGACCTGCGCAAGGAGGACGCGTCGCGGCCCGAGCGCGGCTGCCTGCGCAAGCTGTCCCGCCAGGAGCACGACGACGGGGAGGAGCGCGAGCGTCACCACCGCGAAGGCTGCCTGTCAGCCAGGGCCGACAAGAGCAAGCTGCCCAAGCAGGAGATCGAGGCCATCGAGGAGGGCAGCGACTCGGAGACGGAGGGCGAGAGCACGGGCGACTCGGACAAAACTGCGGATGGCTGCGATGCCGCCGGACATGGCTGTGGCGAGCCGGGGCGCTGCGTCCCGGGGGGCGCCGCCAAGGGGGCAGTCCAAGAGGCTGGAACGGCGATGACGCCGGTTAAAGACTCCGCACAGCTGGCGATGCCAAAGCGCTCCTCGCCTGTGTCCGAGGGGAAGGCCGCGGGCGCGATGGAGAGCTGCGATCGCGTGGGGCTCTGCCAGGACAAGGAGCCAGACGTTGATCTCAGGCCAGACCTGAGGACACATACGGACAAACGCATAACGCAGCAAGAGACCGTGCCAAAGATTGAGTTGTCTAACGATATCGATCAAGCGAGTGTCGACAGCGCTACGTCAAGCCAAACTGTGATAAAAAATCTCGAACAAGGCAATTCCGTGGTTCTTCCCGTGGAAGCTACAGGAGCAGCAGCAGCAGTAGTGATGGGGGCAACAGCAGATAAGTTGGTCCAGCAGAAGCTGCCAGACACCTTTCCCTCTGGAGCAAAATCCGAAGTGGGTTCAAAACCAGAGCAGGTGCCGCGGATGGACCAGGGTGTCCAAACAGACTCGGCGCTCACCAACTATCGCCCTGGAATCCTGCGGTCAGCTGAGCGGAGGAGCAGCTCCCTGGTTGAGGGAATGGTCAAATCATCACCAGCACCTGTAGCTGGGTTAGGAACGGCAGCCACAGCGAGGGAGGCATCGACGTCGATGAGCAAGGAGCCAGCGGTGTCAGCAGGCAAGCCAGGGCCCTCGAAGCGGCAGGCAGAAGCATCCATCAGTGCGGGCAGCAGCGTGGCCCCCACGTCGTTGGGAAAGGCAGAGGATGCCATGGCGTCGAAGGTCATTTTGGACCTGCAGGGGATCCTGCTGGACCCGCCGAAAGCCATGTTGGGCCAGTGTTTCACACGCTCGGCATCCGTCTCGACGCTCAACAAGAGGGACTCTCAGCAAGCCAAGGGCGAGTTCCACGCGGAGGCGAGGGCGACCGCTGGGCTGGCCGGGCACCCGCTAGTCTGTTCGAGCGACGCCATATCCGCACTCGAAAGGATTTTGCTGTCGTCGTCAAAGGTCGGCCCCGGGGGGAGACCGGCACCTGACAGGGAGCTTGGCACAGAGCCCGGAGATAGCGCAACAGCCAAGGCGGTCGCTCGCACGGCACCCGGAGTGGGCGAACGAAACCCAGCGCTGAGGCCACTCGTGTCTTCTTTGCCGAGCTGGGAGGCGAAGGCAGTGGTGGCGGTGTCGGAGAGGGAGCGGCGGGTGCTGCGCCCCGGCTCCCCAGCGCCGGAGCGGAAGCGTCCGTTTTCCTGGGCGCCGACAACATTCCCAGCAGATGCAGAGGCCGCAGCCTTCGTGCCACCATTGCCACCGCAGCTTCCACCACAGCCTCCACCGCAGCCTCCATTGCAGCATCCACCACCACCAACACTGAGGGTGGAGGAAAGGATGAGTAGTGATCCCCAGCCCAAGGAGATGGACGGAAAGTCTAAAGCACCGGGCAGCAGCAAGAAATTAGTGTAGACAAAGAAGCAAATCAAGGGATATTAGCATGTTTACTACGCCGTGCTGCGGTTTGACTTTTATTGTTTCCCCTGAAATTAGTTTCCCGCAAACCCCGCCTGCCTCAGCACTGTCATTGTGGCTCTTGCTGACCATCCCTTCATCCTGATTCCCGCTCGTTTATGGATTCCTTGTCGAAAAAAAACACATTCATCCTCGCTCTCCCCTGTGCTAACTGCCCCTGACCACAACCCAATTCTCTCAAGGCAAAACCTCACCCCTGTTGGACCATGATCCCATTAACCTGTGACCCCTAAACCCACGTCCCTGGTAGCTTGTTCCCTGTGATATTCGCTTGAAGCAGGTGTTGCAAACCCGTAGTTTTTTTTTTATTAGTGTTGAATTGCTAGGCCAGTTGGGTAATCGGTGTCACCCACATATTTAATTAATTAATTTGGAGATTTGGCTGGGTGTGACACACATACAAGCACCATTGCATTGAAATGCAGAGGGGAGAAAAAATTGGAACCCTCAGTACACCGCTTGCTCCACTGGTTGCGGTGACTTGACATCGGTAGTGCACGTATATCGGGAGGGTTGTAGCGGTTGAACGGACGAGTCTGTTGGTCCATCTTGTAGTTAGCAGTTTGTCTCGAGTTATCTGCTTCTGCCTGTGGTGGTGTCGGTGCTGTTGGCTGTGCCGTTGTACATAAAACATGTTAGTCCGCTTTGCAGTGTGGCTGCACGTATTGCTCACATTGCTTGTCTCTTTAGGTTGAGTGTTATTCTTTTTACACTGAAATACTTGAAAGCTGTATGTATGTGTATGTAAATAGTATACAGTATTTATGCATTACTTGGCATTTGGCAGTGTTGAGCTTTGTAAGTGAAGCCAACGCATTATAGAATAGGTAGTGCTCCTTTTGGCCCCAGCAGCTGTGTGCTTGGCTCTGCAGTGGAATCGTAGGTTCTGAGAATGGTGTCACGTTCAGAAATATTGTCTTAGTTTTCTTTGCGGTGCATACGCAAGTCAAACGGCTCCAGTCAGAACATTTTCCGGCTCGTTTAAGTAAGTTTCACCACACCTCGGACACTGCACACTGTCTGGCTTTGCGACTGGAAGAATGTTTAAAAAAAAAACGTTCCTCCTGCAGACTGTGTGGGGACCAAACACAAATGGATCCCAATTTGACCAATTTGGTTGAGGCCTGGATAAATATTTAGGAATATAAAGGAATCCGATCATGGGGATACAGGTAACACATTTTAAGTCTGCTCCATTGCTTGCAGACGAATATTGGTTTCCGTATAGTTGGTTTCTAAAAAGAAAAAAACTGCTTCTTGGATAACAAGAAAGCCAGAGGTAAAAAAAAATCCAGCTGTAAATGCAAACTTTGTCTCACAGTATTCTGAGATCTCACTCCTTTCATTATCATCCCAGTGAACATGCATACTCCAGGCATGTGTGGTGTTTCAATATATTTGTGAGTGTACCATTCTTTTCATTTAGCTGTTGGAAGTTTAGTGAACTCACCATCACTCGGTTTACGGTTACTGTTGGCTATGGGATTGCTGGCATCTGGTGAATCAGATGTGGGTATGTCACCACTGGTCTGGCCATAATGACAGTGGAGATCCCCAAAGAGTATGGAAGAATCTATATCATACAATAAAGGCCTGGCCTGGAGAATAAATGGACAATTGGAATATATTATAATTCGTATTCAATGTAATTTGGTGAAACATTCACATGGGCCGGTTTTTTTATCACACACATTTTGCACACGGTCTCAGAACACGAGGACACAAATGGTCTGTTTGCAGTGGAGAGTTTTTTTTCTCCCATTCCTGAACAGAGCAGGAAGGAAAGATCTACGAGATGCAAGAGAATCGCAGCAGAATGGCACTGTATGGCTGAAAGCACAGTGTGGTGCAACATATCAGTGTGAAAAACGAAAAAACTAAATAAAATACATTTTACTGTGATCTGGCTAGGAATTTGGTGAATTTCAATTAAGCCACCTGCTGCTTTAAAATTAAGCCCAGATTGCAAATGTAATTTATCGATGACATATTGTGACATGGAAACTAGGTTGTGCCGCTTGGGATTCTGCTTTACACTGCGAATGAAGAAAGTGCGCATTCCAGTGTCGTGAGATGCGTGGCCACGTTCAATAATATTTTATGGTTTTTATTTACTTCGCAATCAGTAAATGCTTTCCATTTTGTGTTATTATTATTTTTATCAAAGAAAAAAAAAGCATCATATCTCCATGGTTTACTTGGTGTGACTGGTTACAAAAGTTAATTACATTAAAGGGCAATATAATTGAGCAGAATACGCCAGCTTTCAGATTCCTTTTCTGCTGGTGTCTGCCAGGGATCGCGGTGCGCTGCACCCTTTGAAGGGCAACTGCCGTTCGTATGAACTTGCCTTGAAAGTCTGTAAGGTCTGTTGTGTACCTCTGTGTATTTGTGCGAGTCGGAGCATGTATGCGTGTTGAGCCCATTTACACACTACAAGTGCATGCAAAAGAAATACATGTTTCCTTACATGAGGCTATGACTGTGGCAGAGGAATCGATTTAAATTTTCATGTGCTCTGCATGTTATGGCTTTCCGATAGTTTGGGGAAAGCGAACTCATGTGGATAAGCATAGATAATGATAAACTACATGATAGTCCATCTCATTAACTGGGAAAATACACACAGATTGGGCTCACTTTTGAGAATTAGATGCTGCAAAAGGCGTAATGATCAAATGTTATCCTGGATTCTTGTAAAGCCACTTACAAGCCATGCATTTACATATTACACTGCAGTGAAGTCGGGTAACAATGAGAAAATTAACAGTGATGATGTCATTGTGTTACACAGGTGTCAGTGCAGCATTTTGACTTAGATTGCCCATCTGCCAACAGCAAATAAATGTTCTGATATTATTTGGACGTCATTTGCCAAATTCACAAACCAAAAAGTTATTTAGATTATAAAGCCTCAATTTTAAAGCCCCACTGTGTTTTTGCTGGTTCATGTTTATAACGTCTGTATAAAGCAACTTTGACAATTGTTCACGGCTTTCTGGTGACTTGTATAAGTACGATTCCAGTCCGAGTCCATTTTACTGTGCACACTTTGCACATTTCCCATTGGAAAATTTTGATCGTGAACGACAGTTGGCCAAGTGGTTGATAATTCTCAACAAGAAAAAACACAAAATTGTCATTTATTTCCACTGAAAAAACATTGTCTTTGAATGGCAAGTGTTTACATACTCTTAGAATCCCATTCTCAAAAATAACATTTAACCTCCCCTGTGTGTTCATGCGTATATAGCAAGGATACACTCATGGAACCAATTAATATAGTGTGTGTACGTGACAGAAGCAGGGTCTCTCATGAATGTAAATATTTAGCAGAGGTGTTTGATGTTATTGTTGCAAATGCTTGTAAGAGGTGTGGTGCCAGTGCGGTTGATAACCTGTGGTCGAGGTTGTTGATACTGCAGTGCGCATACCTCTAGAGGCCATGCTGCATTTAGTATGGTGACATTTTTGGCATGCACGTTTAGTCCACATTGCTTCTTTTGAACAAATGGCCGCAAATGTGTTCCGGACGCTCAACTGCATTGGCAGCTCATAACGAGCATTGCAAAATCGGAGAGCTGCCTATCCTACTAGCATCGCTTACAATTTATGATCCTTATGGAGTTATGGAGCAGTGGTAACCCACACCGCTACGTATCCTGGCGACCTAAATTAGATTCCCGACTGGCTAACATTAGTGGTGAGTTATGTCTGACCTGATCCTTGGCAACCTCTCTTTACCAGCCTACACTAATCTGCGTGAAGTGTGGTCAATCCCCCTTGATGAATACAAGCTTGAGTTTATTTGTTTAAGTTTCTATGTTTAACTAGCTGAGAACTCAAGACACTGGGATAGTCTCATTTGCAAGAGTTACCTTGGGTATACAGTGTGGTAAGGCCTTCATCTCCGGCAGTGGATTGGCAGAGCACCGTTATTTAAAATGTCCTCCTCTGTTAAAAATGCACCGTATGTCTTTTAGGATATATTTCTGTATTTAAATATAAAGTGTGCCACTACAAGCCTCCATTTGCAGACACGGCTAATTGTACTTGGTCAAGTTCTCAGTGTGCTTTTTCTGGTTTGGGATCTGGACCTGGTCTTGAACCATCTGTGCCACATCACATCCCAGACAGGCACAGCCACCACTTCTCTCTCTGACTGATGGTGTCTGTGGGCGTCAAACTTGATCTCGAATCCCCACTAGTGGATGCAGCGCCAGTTAGCACCATATTTTGCCCATTTGTGTTGTCATCACTTCCAGCTGAGGGTTGAGGGTTGGCATGTCTAACTTTAAGATGACGTTATTCACAGTCCGCTTTATTTACAAGACATAGATCACTGGACCTCTTCAATTAGATGTCGGTCTATTGCTATTTTTGTCAGACAACCTTTAACGCAACTGCTTGTCATTTATTTGACGTGACATTGAATGACTTACGTTGGTGCTGTTATCCAGTGCCCTTAACATGAGGGTTTTTGTTAGTTTTATTACAAGGGAATAAAACACAAACTGGCTTGTGTTCGCGACACGGATCACATTCCGTACGTGTTTTAAATCGGACGTATATCTCTATAACCTCTTAGGATAAATCTAACAGATTTGGATATTGTTCACCTCACACTAATTGTAGAAAAGCGGGAATTAGTTGAGAGATGTTCTTTTTAGGCAGTGTAACTTTCACACCTTCATTAGAGTTGTGGTTAATGGTGGCTGGTTTTGGTCGATTGTAAATATCGCAGGTTGGGCCGTTAGATCAATAATCTGTAACATCCCAGTTTAAGAATCAACATGCTTTTAGCACTGCCAAGTGTCAATACATTTTAGTTTTCATTGGTTGTGCGACCCGACGTTCATATTGTGCAGAAAAGGAATTGCGCAAATGTATCGTCAGGGCAGAGCGTGTAGTCATTTATTCAGTAAATTTAAATTTTTTCGCCATGTGTTGTTTACAGTCCCCGCTGAGGAGTTTGTGTTTGTATAAAGATGTTTTTTTTTTATTTGACTGTTTACTGAATGCTTGTTTACCAAGAGATGGACTTTTTTTCATGGATATAAGTTGCGGTTTTGAATAGTTGTATTATTTGTCGTAGACTTAGTGCAGTAGTTGATATATTTTTTTGCAGTGGATATGTGCTGCGTGAATTTGAGAGACATGATGCTGGCCGATTGGCCGTATCTATTTTAATTTTTTCGTCAAAGAAAACACGTTTTGATTTTCGCATGCTATGATCCAGGGCGTGGAACGCATTTCCCTCAGCTTGTGAACATATAATTTTTACCTTAAACTTTACACGTGTAGATCTGTATGAAAGTGAATGGTGGCCAGTGAGTGACATCGGATGCAGAAGGTAATCTTTTTGTCTAACAGTGCCCCCTATGAGTGCTCCAAAGCACACAGATATGTACGCATTTTCTTGGTCTATGTATAATGTATATATGCGAGTGTGTAACAGCAAATTGCGCTTGATTTTCGGGCCTACAGCTTAGATACCCGGTCTCCATTCTATGCTGAAGCGTGCAAGCGCGCTTTTTTACCTACATAGTATATAAATGTAAAAACAAAATATACATATAATTATTCATAAACTTCATTTGCAGCCATTTCACAATGAACTTTCCTAGGCAGATTTCTCGATTCTTCAAAAATATGTGTATGTGACCATGTGTGTACGTAACCATATAGCAGAATTGTCATAATTTTTTCTATATAAATTGCAACAATTTTTGACACGCATTACGGTAAAGCAACAACATTTGTATTCCATACGCAAATGTATTTCCAATCACTTAACATGTCGTTAGAATCCATAACAATCGTATATTACCAGTCCCTTAACACGCAGGTCAATGTAACAATATTTGTAATTTCCTCAGCGTAACTTTTTATCAATTTCTAACGTTTCAATTTTGCAACATGCGTTTTTTCCATTCACACGTAACATTGAGTTCCAATCCATAACAAGGGAATGTTCTCCGTCCAGATCGTTTTTCCATTACAGCTCAACACTTCCCGTGATAGCCTCGACCGGTTCCCCATTGCCTAACCGCTGGTGGATTAGAGGGGCGACTGGCCTTAGTCTCTTGCGTCTGCCAATGAGCCAGTTTAACACGGAATCTATGGTCCGATTCCTGTTGACTTCTGACAGGGCATTGTTACCAAAGCACGCATCTGTTTTTATGTTGATTATAAATATCCCGTGATATAATTAGCAAGAGTTGATCATTGTGTGCCAGTCTCCCGTCTACAATTCAAATGTAAATAGCTTTAAATGTTAATTCTAAATTCCTTGCGTAGCCAGTTCCTGCAGTTTGCTTCAGATTGAGACTGTATCAATGGTCTATTACTTGGATAATAAACAGGATATAATTATGATAAATATAACCATTAAAAGCCTGTTCTTTATGTTTAGCGTTTGTTAAATATATTATTTAACGTACGTGGAGTTTTGTAATGGGCTGGGGTCAAGCGTTTGTCCATTTCAGCTGCTCGCTGTACTGTTTTGTTGTTGTGTCAGTAGTTTTGTTCTAACGGTCCCCAAACAGGCACTTCATTCACAACACCGAAGCCCAAAGCAGACCGACACTCGGATTAACGGGAGCAGAGTGAAGGAAATAATGGTTTCTGAAGAATTAGAAATCCTATTTCAATATTCCCCACGTTTAATCCGGCATTTGCTCGTACATTGCAGTCACGGAGAGAAGTCACTGTGTCAAGTTCTCTGTGAACGTGTTTTGTTGTTGAAGTGAGTCTCTGTGCAACTCTCGTTTAAGTGACCACGTGTGGATCGGTGCATGTGTCCTGCATTGGATGTAGGAAGTGCGGCTGTGTGCATGTGCTGGCCTGGGTTGGGCCCTTTTGAATGTAATGCATATAATAAATCCAAATGGGCGCTGATCTGTGCAGGTTAAAAGTTAAGTAAAATTCACCCGTGCTCTTTTCAGGCTTAAGCGGTGCTCATCTCCACTTGGGTTTGAGCAACTGATGGAAATTCCACGTTCTCATGGCACGGCCCGGTTCCCAAAGCAACGGCCACTGCTGACTTGGCACCAAGTGGGTGGTCGTATAACTGTGACCCCGTGGGGATTACGGTGATGACGGGCCTCGGTTAGCCCCTTGCTCTTGGTTTAGGAGGCGAATATGGGAATTCTATTACATGTGGATTTCTCATCAGTGTGCACAGCCTAAGGTTTATACCGAGTGGCTAATAATCCGTGAGAGATGGGGCAGGTTGTGTAATCGCACCCTGATTGCGTTGTGGCTGTTGTGAGCACGTAGAAGAGGGAAGATCAAGAAGTCTACTTAGCCAAGGGTATGTGCGTGTGTATATATATTCTGCTGTCTCGTTGGGAAAATATTGTCTGGAAGGTATGCATGTATCGATTCGCCCAACACCCTCATGGTTTAGGTGAACGTATTCTTGTTTGCCCATTGCTGTGCATCCTATGATCTATTGTGGCTGCAACGTTTCCATGGAACTGCATGGTTTCGATGAAGCAATCACACGGAAACAATTGATTCTTGCGAGCACAATCCGATGCGTGCGTTGTGAGTGCAAGAATCGATGTTGATATGATGACTCGTTACATGCCTGCCGGAAGGCGAGCTGTTTGTTCCTCTAAATTAAAACGTGCTGGTGTCGTCGTTTGTGCTGTGGCAGTCACGCGTTTAATGCACTCTTCTTTTTCGTGACATTTGTCATGCAGAATGGCGAACCAACAACAGCTGTTGAGTTGTGCAATAAAACATTTTGCAAAATATTGCCGCCACGTTGCTACTGCCTTGTTTTGTTGTACGCAAGTGCTTCACGGATGTGTGATTATTAGTGTCACAAGTCTCATGTGATGATAGATCAGATTTGCAAAGCTGTGTTATTTTACCCGTCGTGCTATAACATCAAACAATGAAGATGACCGCGTGAAGCTGTAATGCTGGGAGAAGAACTACGGCACAGGGATTACTTCAGCCTCATCGTTGCTAGCG